AGATGGACCGCGTTAAGCAGAAAGGAAGCAAGCCACATCAGCTACTACCAAATTTAAGTGGGCGATTTAATTTTGTGCAGGATAATGTTTGTGCGGATTCCTTTGAAACATTTTAAGAAAGCTTCGTGCTATGCAGAAAATCCACTGAAATTTGCACAGAAATCTGCACGACCGATTCCATGTAAATAATTGAATTGCCCAATTAAATTTGGCAATAGCGGATGTGGCTTGGTTCCTTTCTGCTTAATGCGGTCCCTCCAGATATTTGAGAAACTTTGATATGACTCTATTGCCAAAATATCGCTTGGTTAATTTATTTGTGTCTTGGCTATATTCTACGTTTTTTGAAAGCCGTCAAATGCAATGCAATAATAGAACTTGCACTAAAAAAAGAAGTATCACGATCTCAAATATATTTCGAGCTGATTTTGGCGCCAGCCATAAGAGTATTTCAGCACCCGCTAGAAAAATAAGGGCACCAGGCAGCAGTATAGTTAATCCAACCACACTTATGCTGGCTGTGAGGGCACCAGCTAGAGGTATGGTTGATGAAACCACACTTTCAGCTGACGTAACCGTACGTACCCCTGGCTTGTGCAACTACTCTAATATCTGACGCCAAAATCAGTTAGGAGTATAGTTGGGATTGTGATGTTTTTTTTTTTTGTGTGCGAAATTGTACTGCCGTGATAGCGAAGAGAGCCGTAAGTGCAAAAATGAAGTTCTGAGAAAACGGGTTCAGAAGCTTCTGACCGGAACATTTTACTGAAAGAAGCCTCCGTTCTTTGTCAAATTGCCACTAATCGTCCGGAAGACTCCTAGAAATCGTATGGATGATTTAAAATCGACTGATTTTATTTCCATTACTTAAAAAAGGGTATTTTTCATTTTCATGCCAGGTTATTGTTAGGCAAGACAGCCGTAAGTGCTATCTACTGTATACTTTCGTGGTTGCGTTTTGGACGCACAACAAACACATTATCAGGTTAGAAATTGGCAGAAGAGGGCGGCACCTTACTGGAAAGCACTGTTTTCATAGGCTCTCATGCACCTGCGGCTGTCTTGAAAAAAACTATGTCATTTTTTGTGCACTTACGGCTTTCTCATACGTCTTGTTTTCATTAAATTAGGATGAATTTTGCTGTTTTAGCTGTCTCAGTAATTTCATCTAAAAGAGTTTAGACGAATTTTGAAGAAAACTCGATTTCGAAAATTTTGCACTTACGGCTCTCTTCGCTACCACGGCAGTGTAATGCAGCCCATTTCATTCATATTTGAGGACTTTGTATCTTGACCAACGGTAAGCTTTGAGGAACGGACCTGCCCCTAGCTGAGCTGGCAAAAGCCTCCTAGATCCCTGCCAGGAATTCATCGTAGGCACCTTTACTCGAATTGATTTTATCAGGTATTCATGAGGACTCCGGAGGGGTGGGGGTTGCGGGGAGGGCGGAAGGGGCGGAAAGTAAAAAATGCGAAGTGATTTAAGCATGCGCAACTAATTAATGCCCTGCTCCTGAAAGTCTGGAGCAGGGCCGCCGGGCAAACGGCTACCGGACTTCACCATGAAATAAGTTTTAATCACGAGGTTGGCGTTGCAGCGTTTAGTGTCAAACCGGAGGCGCGAGGTTGCCGCCTTTTCGGGTTTTACACTCGTGTCCGGGGTGTTTTCAAGCGGGTATTTGAGGAAGTTTGGGGACCCTGCGCAGGGCCTCGAGCGAGAACTGCGAACTGCTCCGGTGTGCTTTAATCTTTGCTCTCTATAAATCGGCTAACCCTTATGCTTCGTCTGAGCCCGCGGGCGCCGTGAAGATGGCGGACCTCGGAAGAAAAATGTGTGTGTTTGTGATCAGCGTGAGAAGATGGAACTTATCTTCACCTAGGCGGATTCTTATCTTTAGGCCTTGTCTCCGCGGAGTGGTACCGCGGGATTTGTCCCAAGGAAAAATCCCACTTGCGAAGTCGGAAAAATATCGAGTTACTCAATATTTCTCCCAGTACCAAGGACGGTTCTTGTCCCCCTAATAGAGATATTTGAATCAGTGAGAACGGAAACACACCAACTCGGAAAAATGAAAATAATGAAGACACTTACTGGAAAAACACACATTGGATCTTGAGTCCAGACTCTTAAAAACATTGACAAGAAAAAATACTTTTGATTCAATCAGATTTAAGCTTAAATCAAGAACCAAGCCTCTTAATTTGAGCGGATTTCCTTTTGATTTAAGCTTAAATCTGATTGAATTAAGAGTCCTTTTTCTTGTCAATGTTTTCAAGAGTCTGGACTCTAGATCCAATGTGTTTTTTCCAGTGCTTAAAAAACTGCAGAATAGGCAAAGAAGTTAGTTAAAGATAAAGATTTTTGCTGCCGAAAGACAAGCACTTATTGACACTTAAAAGGTCCAAGTTGGAACATATAGGCTAACTTCAATGACCTTCATGTAAATTGGACGTATTTCTGTCAAACGGAACTATGTGCAATAAGACATGAGCTCTGAAACCCATAAGAATGTATGCATAACAGGACTCACATCATAATGCACATAGCTCCGTTTGGCAGAAATACGTCCAATTAACTGTCTTTAATGGAAATTGAGCATTTTCCAGTTACCGAGTTGGTGTGTTTTCGTCCTCGCTGATTCATTTAAGATCAACTGAGAGAGGATGAAGAAGTGAAAACCAATTTTGCGATATTTTGTTGTTAACCTCGGTGGTTGGTGATTGTTTAGTAAAAATACACCAGGAAAAGGATAGGGTTAGTGAAAGAATGATAAGTTATTATCTTGTTCAAGTGATTTTTTCTTTGATTATAACTGCTTTTATACTATATTTCACCTGTTGTTTAATTGTGAATCGTGTTCCATTATTATTTTAATACCAGTTCAATACTCGATTTTTTACCGATTTAACACCGCGCGAAGTTCTCGCAGGAACGCGAGAGCCCCAATATGTGGAAGTGGTAATCTTAGGTCCATTTTATCGGCAGATTGCAAAAAAAGTTCAAGTTTCGATGTTAAGTCATTTCCGCCCACGCGTCAACATGCGCTTACAAGTCCAACGAGTTTAGTGCATAAAACATAAACGTATATCGACGGTGAAACTACCAAACCACGTATCTCGTTTGCGGTGTTTAAAAATCTACGCTCGCATTTTATTTTTTTGAGGTGACCAAATCAATATCATTCCTTGAAATTTTAACAGAATTTTCTCCGCACGAAGAGGAAAAATCACAGAAATTTTCAAGACTGGACGTTGAGTAGTTTTTCATTTAAAAAATAAAGTATGACAGGAAGTCTGCGACGTCGCAAACCGAGATACGTGGTTTGGTAGTTTCACCGTCGATATGTATTGGTACGAGGTGACATGGAAATAGTAATAACATGGATTTAACATATTTAATAATTTAATTGAACATTGGGAAATACACGGAGAAAATATTGGTAACGGTAACTGAACAGTGATAAAACTATGGGACGAAATTCGGAGATTTTGCCATTTGACAAATAAACAAAAATTATTTGATCATCTAAATCAAAAAAATATTTAATGAAATCGAAGAAAGAAGAATGAAACGGGTTTTTAAACTACAGAATTTGATTTTGCCATTCAACTTCAACGACCAGAGCTCTTTTACTGAGTGGAAAAGTGGTCACCCCAAGCTTGACGCACCCCAAATTCACGAGCGAGTAGTATATAGATTCGCACCCTAGGTCTCAAAAAGAATTCGATGTCAGGCTATCAGGACCATTTTCAGAACCAAAATTACTGATTAGTCCTATTTTTGCTGAAAAAATAAAGTTTCGTAACATGAAACGCAGCTTGAGGTGCAATGTAGTTGCACACATCAGTTGCGGTACATGTGCTTTCCAGTGGTGCAGCGTGGCATGCTTTGCGATATATCGATTGATCTGCCATTTAAACCCATGGAAAAGGATCGATTATTAGGGTGTTTGCAGCGTACCCTAAAAATCGATTCTTAATCACAGCTCAAATGGGGAAATATCGATAACCGATCATTCACGCCTCGCCACTGCTCGGTTCGATTTACTGAGCCTCCATCCTGAACTGGACGTATTTCTACCAAACGGAACTATGCGCATTAAGACATGAGCCCTGAGACCCATAAGAATATGTGCATAACAGGGCTCACGTCATAATGCACATAGTTCCGTTTGGCAGAAATACGTCCAACTGATCTGCAGAGAGAGTTCAGAAGACTGAAATGTTGAAAAAGTTCGAGGGCCTGAATCAATCCGTAGAGAGAGGGTGGTTGCATGAAATGAAGGTGAAGGCACCAGAACCGGAATCACGGTTACATGAACCGAGACAAATATATTCGATCGCATGAACTGCAGTTAGGTGTTCCATATCGATCGAACTTTCCAGTTTGAAAAACCGAGCGAAAGATTAGTAAAACTACCCCTCTTTTTCTCAGATCGGTTCAATCCAAAAGTTTAGGTTCGAGAACCGATTTCGAACGGTATCGAGCTCCGGAACCCGGTTAATGCCTATAACCAAACTGGTTTTTTTTTTTTGTTTTTTTTTTTGTTCTTTTTTTTTTGTTCTTCTTTTTTCTTAGTTTCTTTCTTTCTTTTTTTACACAATAAAAAAAAAAAGTTCGGCCGTGGAAGCCGTTCTCACCGGCTATAAAGATATACTGTCCGCGTTCCGGGCTCAGAGGCCGCAAGTTCCTGGCGTAGCACCTGGATAATCGAAGCTTCCCGGAACTTTCAGCATCTGAGCCCGGGATGGACGGTATATCTACACTTCCGTGTTAAGGAAAAACGCCGTATGAGCCTTCAGGCGTTGCCAAATTTCCTTCGACAAATCCCTAATTTACAGGCAAATTTGTGAATATTTTCCCTCTAATTTCTCAGGTAATTTTGTTTGTGCTTTGATCGAAAGTGCCTGAAAATTTCAAGGAAGAATAGTCATAACTTTTCTCAAAAATTAACATTTTATCGGAGGAAATTTGGCAACTCTCGAATGTTCATACGACGTTTTTCCTTAGTACGGCAGTATATGGCTCGTAATTTTTCTTTTCAGTGCAGAACTTTCCCCTCTCTCTTTTTGATGATCATTGCTATAAACTGTGTTAAAATCTACTTGGCCTTAGGTTCAGCCTTGAAGTTCTGAGCGCAGTGGCATAGAGGCTTCTTCTCGGTTTCGGTGATGATCATGCAGGTCATCTTCTTCTGTTCGTCGTTTTCGCACATGACGCCGGCGATGGTGGCGCAATCTTCCGGGCGCTTGATGCTCTGCTCCATGAAGAGATATTCTGCCGCGTTCTTGCACTTGACCAGGGCTTGCATGTTGGCCTCCTCCGTTGCCGGCGCGTCGGCGTTGTACTTGGCGCACACGTTGCTGCTCATCGCCTCCGTCAGCGCTGCCAACCCTATTTCTCTAGCCTTGTCATCCTCACTGTCACCCTGCAATTTTTCACATTAATTTAGCGAGGATTGTATACCACGGAAAAAATTAAATTGCTGATTTAACAATTGAATTGCTAAAAAAAAGTGACTGCAATGTTTCAATGTAGATTTTACAACACAAAAATGCTACTTTAACCACCCCCGTGAATAAATTAGCTTACAATAGTGGTTAAAGTAGCATTTTTTGTTAATCTACGTTGAAACATCGCAGTCACTTCTTTTAGCAATTTAATTGGTAAATCAGCAATTTAATTTTTTCCGTGTAGGATGATCTAGAGTACCTAAACAGCGAGAGTATGGACAAATCGCTTCATGGAGAGCATAGGGCCAAAAAGTGCAGCCATTCTTTTAACCAGCTTCTAACACACAAAACGTCACTGCTAGTTTGCAGAAAGCAGAGTCTGCAGATTTCAATTCTAACCAAGATGACCAAGAATGAGTGTTAAATTAGTGTTCTACCGCAAAAATGAGTAAATTTATGCAAAAACTAAGTCAAATACGTACTTTATAAACGACAGTCCCAACTAATTGTATTAGTATATTGTTCTGGATAATTTAAATCCAAAGGTTGGCTGCATTTCCGGGCCCTAACTTTGTTCGCGGAGGCATCGGTGAAGGCCTGATGGATTTTCGGAGTTTCTCATCTGTCTATACTCTCGCTATTTGGGTACTCTGGGGTGATCGTTCCATGAGAGTCCCTCACTTCGACAGGGCTAACCTTGGTTTAATAAACTTACCCTAGAGTGCCTTTATACGGGAGAATGTTGCCATTATCATCTCAATCCTTTTACTGCAGGGAAAGTGTGCCGCTTTCTGATTGGTCGGCTATCATGGAGCCGCAAAGTTGGACCATTGTAAACAAACCCCAGCCCCTCCGCTCCTAGTTTGGCGCAATATAAAGAAACAAGACGGCGACAAAGTTCCTTAAAGTTCTAGACGTGATTTTGGATGCGGTGGAAATTTTAAATAATAAACTTCTGGATTGAGCTCGGATCGAGCTTTGATGGATATTTTTGCCAAAAATCAACCTTTGAGTGTGATTATCATTCAATTCTCAGCCGATAACACATGTTCCTCTGGGTCGAGCAACTTTGGAGCTCCATGATAGCCTGATGAACCAATCAGAGAGCGATACAGAGATGGCAAATCTCTCCCGTATATAGATACACCGAAAAAAATAATATGCTGTTATAGCATCTTGGATGTCAAAAATGTGTCTGGTGATCCAAAGATGCTGCCTTTATTGCCCCCGCAGTTGAATTTGCATTCACAGGATGTAAAATTAACTGCTGGGGCAGTAAAGGCAGCATATTGGGATCACCAGACACATTTTTGACATCCTAGATGCTAAAACAGCATATTATTTTTTTCGGTGTACTCTAACTCACCCTGCTAAATGCTGTCATGTTTGTACCATGTTACACTGGAAAAAAAGTCACGGGTTATGTAGACATTCCGTCCGTACTAGGCTCAGAGGCCGAAAGTTACGAGTGCTGAGTACGTAGCTTTGATTGCACCGGGTGCTACACCCGGAACTTCTGGCCTCTGAGTGGACGGTGTGTCTATATAGCCCGTAAGTGTGGCTTCCAGGACTGGAGTTCAGGGCCGGATTGAGGGGGTGGCCACATGGGCCGCGGCCCATGGCGGCAAATTTTGCAATTTTTTTAAAAGCAGGTACAAAAATAAAATCGGACTCAGAAAAAAAATTACAAACGAGAAACGGCGACAAGATCTCTCATTACCTGAGTGTATATTAATTTCAAATTTTGTCGTCTTTCGGTGATACAAGAGATAGCACTTTTAATTAGACGAGTTAAGAGAAAAACCAAACACGCAATTTGGCATGGAGCGGCGCGGCGCAGAGAGGCATAATTACGAGGACTTGAGATGAAAAGGAGAAGCCCTCGGTGCAGCGGTTGGCACGTAACACGTATTGGCGCCTACAAGACCGCATGAATACTTCACGCATTGCGTCAAACATAGTGCAGTCAGCAGCGGCCGACGGGAAACGCATAGCGCCTACAAGACTGCATGAATACTTCACGCATTACGTCAAAAACAGTGCGGTCAGCGTGAAACGCATGGCGCCTACTAGACTTCATGAATACTTCACGCATAGCATCAAACACAATGTGTTCCGCAGCGGTCGGCGTGAAACGCATAGCGCCTGCAACCTATGAGCTGGCTAACGATAACGTAGGTACGCCTATGGCATGGTGCCAAAATGTTACCAGCATGATAACATGTTGACATACATAAGAGGAAACTACATAACAGATGCTCTAATCAGACTGATGTAAATAGACTTTTATCAAGTGGTTTAAGATGTTGAACTTGCCGAGTGATTTTAAAATGTATATTAATTTAAATAGTAAAAAAAAACCTCAAAACAAGCACTAAATCGTGACGAATTTTGCAGAGAATTTTTATCTGATGGGATCATTTATTCGTTAAAAATTAGGAAAAACGCAGAATATAATTTTAAAAAAAGTGTATGTGCCTGGGCAGAAAATCAAAATTCGTGATGAAATTAGTTTTATGAGAAATAAATCACAATTCACTCAAAATTTGCACCGAAATAAGGAGAACTGGACACGGACATTTTCAGAAAGGTTCAGTTCTTCTCCGCATAAAAAACCCCCAAATAAATTGATGTCTGGTAGAAGAGGGTGAGTATACAAAACAATTCGAAAGGAGAAGCAAAAAACGGACTTCCTAGTCAAGGAAGATGACTAAACGATACTGAACATTTTTTGGACGTTTCAAAGGGTGTGTCATCATCAGTTTAAGAAAGTTTCGAAATAATTTCCTCGGTGCAAAATTTTTTTGTGCCATCGAAGGATACTTTGAAATTTCGAACTTGCGCCCTTAGCTTGAATTAAGAAATTGAAATAAATTGAAACATTTTTAAGTATAAAAAGGAGTTTTAAAGTGAGTTAAAAAAATGTAGCACACATTTGTTCAAAATACCTTCAGATAAAAATAAAAATTTATATGCATTGCCAAAGCTTCTTTCCAGAAAAAAATGTAATAAAAAAAAAAAGTTTGATCTTAGGCCCTTCCATTCGGAAACCGCTTCAAATTCATAAATACTTACCGCGACAAACAGAGCTACGCAAGATGTCAGGGCTGAAACCAACAGGAACATCTTCACAGCCTCCATGATTACTACTTAGAACCTCTTCGGTTTGACTTTAAGAAACAATATCGAGAGCCACCCACCGGCTACAAATACTGGAGAGAACTGGACGTTCCTGTCGAGAGAATATCGCGCCTTATACGTGAAAGATGGAAATCGTTTTCCCAACAAAGTTTGCTTTTGAATCTCATGACATTCATGTTTGTCCTTGGCAGGCACTTAGGGTATTTTAACTGCCACTAGATCACGCCTGGTGGACACACGTGCATGTTTGCCGAATCGGCACAATAGACTGATTTAATGGCAACGTCATTTGGATGTTTTCCATCATTCGATGGTTCCGATACTTTTACAGATACGCAGTTCTAACTTTACTAACATCAGTGTGGTGGGATGCACACGTCTGTGTCTTATGATGAAGATGTGTCTTGGGTGAGGGGCCTTAAATTGATATCTTAATTGGATTGCACTTGGCAAAAAGGAACCAGCGCGAGTACAGTGTTTTCACAAGCGTGTAACTTCTCCTTTTTCTTTTAAAAATACTTAATATATGTACAATATTAAAATTTATACAATTATTTTCCTTCAAAATTAACAATTTTTTGGTGGAAGATCAAAACTATTTGCTATTCTGGGAGAGTTTTTTTTAGATAATTATGAAGAAACAACATTTTAACAACACTGTAATCGCGCTGGCTCCTTTTTGCTAAATGCGATCCAATTATTAATGACAAATTTTTCACGAACTAACGTAGTAAACACTCAATGCGTAATTGATGAAAAAAAATATTATGTCGGTTATGCATGACCGACACGACAGTTTGTGGTCTTGAGGCCTCAGCATTTAAAATTCCTCATAATTTACCTTCATCAGCTCGTGCGAATTCACAAATTTAAAAAATTCTCAAAGGTAATTGTATTTTATTTCAATTAGTTTGTTATGAGTCTCTGGAAACGCTAAAATGAAACTGGAGATACGGTCATTCTCGTTATTGTGAAATCACAAATATTGACATATTCTTTGGGCTATTGACTGTTTCGATCTTTGTAATCATTTTAATATCGGCAACAATGGTAATTGAATTAATGGAGAAACCAGCATAATCGCGGACAAAATGATTATGATAATTGGTTGGGAAGAGAATAGCTAGCATTTGATGCAAACTCCGATTCGGTCTGGCGTTTTTGTCGGATGCGCCCAAGAATTTGCGGTTCCAGAAAAATGAATAGAACTCGGACAATCAGCGGAGTTGATGTATCATTAACTATTCTCGCGCCAGCGTCGCGTCACTGTCACTTTCAAAGCTTTCATAGCACGTGGAGACTCGCAAAACTATTCGGAAGCAGGCCTGAATTTTGTTGATTAACGCAGTTTTCCAGCATTATGATTTAAAATGTTGAATGGAGAGGCGTTCACATTTGCGAAACATATACTTATCTGGAAATCATGAAAATTAAAACGCAGACCCCGCGAACGTGTTGAGCATTTATTTTGAATTTAAAATCATACATGCAGCCATGCATGGAAAAAGGGACCTTAATCCACAAGACTTTAATGTTGAGATTGAGGTATCGTTACTTCAGCATACGTAGATAAAAAATAGAATGTCAGTGGTTATCGAATTTGCATGCCCTCAGGAAATCTTGTGACCAATAACAGATTTCTGTCAGTCTCGTTAATGTATCCGGCTCATGATCAACTCTGTCAAGAATCTACCACTGACTTTTAGATTTCTTGGGGATCATGTGTAATCAGTCCTCTAGTAACCACTGCAATAATTATTTTCTATTTTCTTGTAAAGGAGTCCTCAATCAACATTTTGGGACAAGAAGCGCCCAAAAATGTCTTACCAAGCCGAAGTTCTAAGGCAGATTGAAGTTAGCAGCTCAAAGTATGTTGCTTTAAAGAGGAACCATCTACTAGAATCTCAATCTGTCGTTTTCGTATGAAGCACTAAATTGTCAAATTATTGTGCAATTTTCTGTCATCAGTTGGCACAAAAATTGACTAAATTTTGCACAACTTGCGATAGGAATTTTAGAGAGAATTTTCAACTTACAATTCATTTTTTTCGACTCAACTCGACCAAAATTATTCTGGTGAATATGTTGCCTTACAAGGCGAAGGTCGACTAACTCACGAAATGTCTCGAAAAAACACACATTGTTCCTTAAACAGGTTGAAAAATATATTTTTTAGCTTGCCCATATTTTCTTCTTTACATACAACTATACACGTAAATCTCTGCTCTATGCAACCATTCCATTCATAGATTCAAGGAAATCTCTCGATTAACTGGACGACATTAGTCTACCAGCAGTTGCATTCATCAGCCCGGCAACATTTCACATTGCATTATTTTCTCTCGTGTCATGTCATTTGCAAGGAAACAGAGGAACGTCATTTATTGAGATTCTCCGTGAAATTCCCCTGAAAAGAATGCACTCGCAAACTTTCAAGGATGAATGTTTCTTACTGCTCTCTTAAAAAAAATAAACTTAACAGTAAATTAGGCAACTTGATATCGTTACCTTCCGGTCAAAGTGGCACAAGCGTCATGCGACGTTTAAACATTTCCATTGCCATTTTATTTTTTTACAGAGGAATTCTTCAACGAAGCTGTCCGCAGACACTGAATTGTCTTTGTGCTACCGATAAAATTCAGTGAAACTTTCAAACAGATTCAACCCAGGGCCGGATTAAGGGGGTGGCCACGTGGGCCGCGGCCCATGGCGGCAAAATGTAAGGGGCAACAAATTTTGCAATCTTTTTAATGTAGGTATCAAAAAATGAGAGCGAAAAATCGGATTCAGAAAATAAATGACGGACGAGAAAAGGCGACAAAATCTCTCATTACCTGCGAGTGAAAGTATAGTAATTTCTAATTTTGTCGTTTTTCGGTGTTACAAGAGACAACACCTTTAATTAGTCGAGTTAAGAGTGAAACCAAACACGCAATTTGACCTGGACCGGAGCGGACGGCGGCGGTCGGCATGAAACGCATAGCGCCTACCAGACTGCATGAATACTTCACGCATTGCGTCAAACACACTGCGATCAGCAGCAGTCGGCTTGAAACGCATAGCGCCTACCAGACTGCATGAATACTTCACGCATTGCGCCAACACAGCGCGGTCAGTGCGGCGCGGCAGCGGAAGTTAAAATTATTTACCTTATTTATGTTTGTTCTGTCATAATTTTTTCGTTCGTTTTTTATACATGGAAGGCCTTGTCCAGACAGGGATGGGTTTACGGAACTGAACTTTTGTTAGTGTTGACAGGGCTTTCACAAAAAATGTGCCCAACGCGAGTAAATGCGTCTCATACACCCCTCCCCCACCGGCACGTTCATTTGATGGTTTTTATAGATCGTATTCGACGGATCGCACAGGTGAGATTATATTGATTTCGATTGGTTCAATATGTAAACACAGCCTCAAAAGTCAATTTAGAAATCGGAGGTAACGGGTCTTATGTGATCAAATTTTCATTCTCTCGAGCACCAAATGGCAATGAAATGTGAAATTGTTAGGATTTTCATCATTTTCAGCTTTTCCAAATTAAATCTTAATATTTTTGTTTGAGGTTATGTTCTATTGTTTTGAACCAAACGAAACACCGAACCTTCGTCGAATACGATCTATTGACGTTTCGAAACGAATGAGAAGGGGACGGAAAAATACAGGCGGCCCATGGGCGGCAAGTAGGTAAATCCGGCCCTGATTCAACCAACAATTTCTCTGTAAGAAATAAAATGGCGGCGGAATTTTTAAAACGTCGCATAGCGCTTGTGATACTTTGGTCGGAAGGGGACGATATACAGGCAAACTAATTCCGGTTGATCCAGCCCACTTCCGACAATATCTTAAAAAAACCCTGATGTTCCCTCAAGCTCATCTTCAAGAATTGAATATCCAAAAAAAGATATTCCTCCAGAGAACTGCAGTCACAAATACAATTAAACGAGATGTATCCGTGAGGTGTTAATGCTCCGGAGTCCGTGGAATAGGAAAATCAATATATTAAAATCCGAGTATTTACGATTCGACCACGCCTCTTCGGCTGCGAGTGAAAATAATGGAAAAGCATGCGGTTGCGGCGGAGGCCATGAAGAGGGGAAACTCATTTAAGTGAATGATCGTGCTTGCAGCGATCCGCGCCTCCAATTAACCACCGGGAGAATTGGAAAATGATCTGCTCCTGAAAAAGGTACAGTCTTACGCGCCGTTGCCGACCAGAGAAAATTCTATCATAGAGATCCTGCACTTAAAGTCTGATCAATGTATTATTCAGGTGCGGTAGTCTTAAAGTTAAGGGATCAAGACTACTTCTCACCTTTTGATGATTGATGAGCAACTTATTGCGGATGTAATTCACCAAATAATGACTGATAAATGTCGGGGTGAGCTGTATGGGCGAATTTTTCCCCAAAATAGGTTCTGTCAGACCTATAGGCCTGGATACACGCTCAAATTTCCGTCAGTTTCTGATCAAAATGATGACAAAAATGGCGGTCGAGAGTTATCTATATTGTTATCTAAAATTAATCAAAACAGCGTGTTGATTGAAAGAAGCATGAAATTAGCACGGTTGTGTGGAAATCAAATGACGGATGAGACCCACAGTTCCATCATCTACCATCAAATTTTTGCAGGCCCCAAAAAATTGATGGTAGATGCGGAGCGCACCAGTCACCATTTGATCGGAAATTGATGAAAATTTGAGCATGTATCCGTGCCTTATTGCTGAACACTTTCAACCTCAGTCATATTTAAGCGAATATGGGCGTTGATCTCCAAACATAAATGTGCGAAGTCGCTAAATTGTACTATCTCTGTTCATAGAAAATCTCTATTGGAAATTACCGACCAAAGTGTCAGTAGATGAAGATATGCTTTCTTTAATCAATTATTTTACCTAGTTATTGTGGCCATTCACGTATGAAAGAGACCAGGAGACCTCGGTTCGAGAGAATTGAAAGAAAAAAGAAAATCAATTCATATCAGAGCATAGCCATTTACTGTCAGCCATTTTCTGTTTTACTGCCATTTTTGGAAAAAAATGCCCAAAGATTATGAAAACTATCAAAGTTATGATGGTAAAAGTTGCGGTTTAAAACATTTAATTCGGGAGTAAGGTATCAAAATTCTAATATGCCTCACCGATGGTGGAAATTGACATAATTAAGCTACGGATTTCGATTGCAGCATATTTTAAAATGTCCGCTTATGATCACTTTTTTCTAGGGAAAACTGTTCGACTCTATAGCGTGAAATAATCAGAAGATACACTTGAAGGAACGAAAAAAATCGAAAGAAGGTCTGGAAATATATATTTTTGTTGGTTAAATATGTATAACCAAATTGTAGTTATAGTGGTTTGAAAACAATGGTTCGAAAAAAAAACTAGTCTAAAGCTTTGTCTACCGGGTCCAGGGGGTCCGGTTCCAATTGAAATTTTCTTTAAAGTCACTCATTGCTTATTCATAGTTTAAAACTAAAAAGTCGTTGAGTATTGACAAAAGAATTAACTCATACCAATTGTTATTCCTCATCGATGCCGATGGTCTGGTCAAAGAGTTTGGTTGCAGTAGATATGTAGTCTCTGTTGCAGCATCATATTTTGAAGGCGTTTCATGGCGCTAACGTGCAATTGGCAGCTTTGATTGAGAGGTGAAAATTCTTACAAAAGACGGAATATACATATATCTACACAATCGCTGGGTTTTGCACGTCTCCTGCCTCTGTCAAACTTATCAATGATTGTTCCTATTGACTAACATATTCCATGTCAATATTAATCGGTGAACTATAAAAACAGGTATTGTAAAACGAACAGACTTTATTTGAGACACATTTTCATTCAAACGCTAGAATGAGTAAAAGACTCCCAAGATGACCCAGAATTCCATACAAAGTCTTCCATTCAAACACTCTCATGCGTGTCAAGTGTCATTTGCTGATCGTCGCTTCATGCAGAATGAAAATTCAGAGTTCAAAGGATCGATATAATCATTAGCTTCTCACTTCGGCATTTAACAAAACGCTTGATTTGACGATTGGCTTTCAACATACTGACTAATTTTCAAAAACAGGTAAATGCAAAATGACTTGCTTTGAGTCAACACAAAAGTGCTTTTAGATTCCATCCAAAATGTTGACTTAAAGGAGCTCAATAGTAATAGTGCTACATTATAAAGTTATTTAATATAAATGGAGATGTTGCTTGTGTGAGGAATTTGCGATTTGACTGTTGATTCTTATGTAAAAATTCGCGAGAAACTCGATGGTCCCACTGGTTTTCTCTGAAATCAAATCCCAAGCTCAACAAAAGCTCTCAAGTTGAGGCCAAAATGGAGGGGATATCCCACCCTACCCTGAGAGTCCACGTCTACATCAAGACAAACTCTCCATGCAGAGATAGGGAGCAAATACATTAGCAGTGATACCACATTATTTGGGGACTCCAAAACTGAAAACACGGCAACCTTGCTAATGTACTTGCTCCCTATCTTTGCATGGAGAGTGCCTCAACTTGAGAGCTTTTTCTGAGCTTGGGAGTTAATTTCAGAGAAAACTGGTGGCACCATCATGTTCCTCACGAACTTTTATATAAGAATCAACAGTCAAATCGCAAATTCCTCACACATACAACATCTCCATTCTGAAAATTTCGAAAATCTTCCCAGTTCGAGAAAGTATGCCTGTACTTTGACAACAGCGCACAAAAGAATTCAAGTCAGTAAACGGAAAACAAAGGTGATGAACTGATACTACCGACTAATTATTGAAAATACCTGCGCAGCAACGCGGGAGCTTATCCCCTCTTCTCTCCTGTGTTTTATGAAATATTACCAACGCGAAGGAGGAGGCTTGCTCGTCGATGATCCGAACATTTCCTTCGTCTCCTTCTCGCAGTTTTCCTTTTTTCACCCTTTCTTTTTTTTAATATTCTCATGCATCCGATTCACGTGCTATCTGTGCACTTTCTTTCAATGATTCTTCGTTGCTGCTGGCACTTGAATGAATCCGCGGAGTTTAATTGTTGCCAAATGTCTGTGCGCGGAAAAAATAATGCCAATCGGAGATTCCAGGTCTCGCTTACTTTTCTAGTCGTAGTGACGATATTACTTTTGTTCCAACGATTTTTTAGGTCACGGTAAAAACTCTGACCGGGATGGAAGTGTTGACATCAGGGAATATTCGTCCGTATTAGTCAGCGTTAAATTCATTCACTTCAAATTATTAAAATGTCTGGTTAAAAGGGGACTTTCAAGAGGTTTTAAGGAGGCCTGCGGGCTGATTATTGAAATTGTCGACAAAGCAATAGACAAAGAAGACAAAAAGGATATGGAGGGATCCTCTTGGTGGAAGCGGGTGGTTGCAATGGACAAAGGACATAGGTACTCGTAATAGACACACTAACGGCAACCCACGAGAGACCCGATAGTTAGTCCATCATTTACCCCCTTAGTCTATAAGAACCACTCATTTCAACCAATAGGATCGCTCCATACTCCCTAAGTCTTCTTTGTTTATCGCTTTGTCTATCAATTTCAACAATCAGCCCGCAGGTAGAAGTACGATAAGTCATTTGCTTTTAGGTCAAATTTCTGGATTCTCTGGAGTCAAGCGCACTGGAGAGAAAATTCACCCGTCTCACTGGTGCCGTGAAAATAGCAGTTATTCCATTCTGCCAAAAATTAAGTTGTGTATACCTTGAAAAATACACAACTGCCCGAAACTTCTTACATTCTCCTTTAAGATGTTTGATATTTTAAAGCTAGGTTGATTTTAAAGCTAGGTTGATTTTAGTGCTTGGACGAAACCGTCCAGCCATCAAAATTCAGAAAAAAGAAATATGATCAGAAATGTTTAGTTAATTACAATGGAGATACGCACGAGGATTCGACTATATCCATCGATTTTCTGTAAAAATTGTCCGTGTCACTTATTGTGTCATTCTCAAATGAGTATCCATCGATAAGTAGCATTGCTACTAGGAGATTTTATCGATCGAGGCAATTTGAGATAGATTTAAAATATATTTACATTATTACACTTAAGAATACATTTGCAGGCTGTACTCGCGACCAATGAAAATATGATGCTCCCAGTGGAAAAGAATTTCACGAACCAGGAACATTTAGAGTCTCTTTTGGCAGCCATGTTCATTGCGCAAGGCGCAGAGGATGAAAGAGGGACATGAAAAAAGTGCTTGTATTGAAAACACGCCCTTAGGCACCTGCGGAGTAAATTACACTTGCATTTTCAATAACTTGTTACCCCTCCAGCACAGGCAGTGCTTTAAACAGTAGCTGATTTTTCTTCTCCATTCTCTTTTCTCGTTCCATAATTTTTCCCTCCCCTCCACTCTGACCGCCATTCATTACTGATTGCTAATGCATCGGCTGATCATAACACTTCCACATCTTTCGGACCCAAGGCTCCCGGGGTTTTTGTGCCGGCCTTTCTCTTCTCGTTCTTCTCATTGTCCTCTTCCAGAGCAGGTCTGAACCTCTGAAGTTTGCATTGCGCCTTATAAGTTCACAAATAGAACATACACAGTACACGCGAGAACGAGGTAGACATGGCATGTGAGGTTGGACTTGATTTTTGGTCCAAGATGATAAATCACTTTTCTGTGAGATACCCTGCACAAAGAGAAATCCCGACACAGAAGTTTGTCATTTTTCCTTTAATATAGTGGCATATTTAAGATTTCACAAAAAGAATACTGCATCTAAATTCGGACTTGAGAAACCATTGCACCACTGCAAATGTAAGCTGAATAGACGAATGCACTATATTGGACCGTGGCTATAGGCACTGCGACTTTAGAATTAAGTTTTTTGAGATATAATCAAACTTAGTTATGGATCTTCACTTTCAAGTCACCATGTGATGTGATATATGGTCGGAATGTTGATGAAGTTCGACTTCTTTCAGTTGTCCGGCTACACTTTTCATTAGAGAGAAATAATTCCATGCCAAATTGAAGAGCTAGAAAGAAAAAAGAAACGAAATGTCGATGAATCATTCTCACTGACATAGAATTATTACTTAGTCTTGAAAGTTGTAAATCCGTAGTAGACATTATTATGTTGTACATTTTAACTCATTATTGGTCATTTGAAGTTGGCAACTTTACCTACGCACTTTCTTTAAACGAATATTGTAAATTAAAAAAACGAGAGTTGGAACTTTATAACTACGACAGAACTTTCAATGATGTATCAAGCGATTTTATTTTGCATATTTTTTGCAAGAAACACGTTTGTTGTTTCAGGAAGCTTTAAAATTAAACTTTTCAAACATATTCTCTGAATATAGAATTGAATAATTACTTATTAAAGTCACTTATTTTTCACCTTTACTTGAATATTCACGTAAGGCATGCTGTCCAAGAAATTTTTTAAAAAAAGTTATATACAATTGATGCAGATGCAGTTTTCTCACCTGATAGAGTCTTGGAAAATCTAAATTTCCGTACATGATGAGCGGAAAAGTGACTGGCTGAAAGGAGCTTTGTGAGATGATCAGGAAATCTTGTTTTCTGCTCGGACATTCACTCAGTTGCGACCATTTTGAGTTATACAGGTACCTCAGAACATTTGAAAGCTACAAAAAGACTCAATCAGAAAAACTCGTCCAATACAAACGGTATTTTTTAGACTTTTTACCATACGACCCTCTCCCGGCCGCCACGTGATTAAACCCGAGGCACACTCCGCATTTCGTTGCCCCTTTGACGTAATGGCGTATCTTAATTTCAACATGAGCCCCTAAAAGTATAGAGTTATACGGAGAACAGGGCTCACATTGAAACTGAGATACGCTCTTACGTTAGAGTAGTGACGATTGGGGCCATAGTACAGAAATTTGTTAACAGTCAAGTATTCCGTATTAACGTCTTCCGTGGTCACTCGTATTAAGCAGAGCTTGGAATATCTCGCAAATTCCTTGAATTTTTAGAGTTTTTTTTCAAAATTTAAAGTTCCTGAATTTTAGAAGTTCTTGAAAATTTGCCAAAGTTGAATATGATCAATATAGTGGATCAAATTTGCAGTGCGCCTGCTTCTGGGACGAATTAATAAGGAGAGGGCTTAAGGGGCAATTCATATCTCGAAGTTCAGGCGGAAATTTTACCCTTGCTGAGTGAAAACAGTTATTTATCCGAATAATTGCAGTCGTCTTTTTAGTTTGCAATGGAAGACATAAAAGGAGAAAAATATAAAAAAAATATATTGAGAAAAATGGAAAAATTGCGACTTAGCATTGATATTCAGATCGGCAAAAAAAGAGAAATCAAAATCAAAAAGTCTTGAAGAGGAGAAGAACTTTGGGTTTAAACGTAGCCGTCTTTAATGAATGTTAAGTTTTATTCATGAATTTTATTTAAATCATGATTTTGGAAAACCTTATTGGTATGGGACTTTGAAGAGGAAGAAAGTGACAACAAGCTTTGACTAATTGTTTAACTCACTTTTGATCTGACCATCGTCAAACTCCATGTCATTATGACGAGTAGTGACACGAATATGACACCAGTATTGATTATGATGATCGTTCCCAGAGCGTCCGACTGATACTGAAAAAATAAAGTATGAGCCTGTGTATGTATTCCATTCTTCATGTGAACTTTGGACAGCATGGACTACATTTTGCAATTAGGAACCACTAATTTCAGCTCACTTTAGAAACAACGTAAGTTCCGTTGTTCTCTCTAAATGATTTTATAAATAAGTCAGAAATCGCAGTTTCTAATTGAAAAATGAAGTCCAGTTTGACACTGTGGCTCATGTTTTGAAGCTCTCTTCATTGAAAATTCAAAATTATTAGCTTTTGGGTTCTGATATGCCCCCTCCCCTATAAAAAATATGGATGAAAGCATAAATATATGAAGGCAATACATCTACTTCCACAGGAGGAAAAGTTCTCTCCAATAAAAGACAACGTATTTGACCAGGGCCGGATTTACCTACTTGCCGCCCATGGGCCACCTGTATTTTGCGGCTCCTTTATCATTCGTTTTGCAACATCAATAAAAACCATCAAGTAAAGCACCGGAGGGGGAGGGGAGGGGTGCATAATACGCGTTCACTCGTGTTGGACACATTTTTTGCGAAAACCCTGTCAACATTATTTGCAAAAGTTCACGAAACTTTGCGCGAAAGTCAAGTTCCGTAAACCTACCTCTGTGTGAAAGAGGCCTTCCATTTGTAAGAAATGAACGTACAAATTATGCATGAACAAACATAAACGTGGTTTAATAATTTTAACCGCCGCTGCCGCGCTGCGCTGACTACACTGTTTTTGAAGCAATGCGTGAAGTATTCCTCCAGTCTTGTAGGCGCTATGCGTTTCACGCCGACCGCTGCTAAACTCACTGTGTCCGACGCAATGCGTGAAGTATTCCTGAAGTCTAGTAGGCGCTATGCTTTTCACGGTGACCGCGCTGTTTTTGATGCAATGCGTGAAGTATTCATGCAGTCTTGCAGGTGCTGATATGTGTTACATGCCGACCGCCACGCTGAGGGCTTCTGAGCTTCTCCTTTTCATCTCAAGTCCTATTTCATCATCAAGTCCTATTCATCATCATTGCTCTCAGCGCCGCGTCGCTCCATACCAAATTGGGTGTTTGGTTTCCCTCCTCACTCGACTAATTAAAGGTCGACTCTTGCGTCACCGAAAGACAGTTTTCTCGTTTGTAATTTTTTTTCTGAATCCGATTTTTTTTATACCTACATTTAAAAAAATTGCAACATTTTCGGCCCCCTAAATTTGCCGCCGTGGGCCGCGGCCCACGTGGCCACCCCCTTAATCCGGCCCTGTATTTGACTGAGCTGATAATTCTCATTGAATGAGCTCCAATCATTTGGATAAAATTTACTGACATTTTCAGCGTTTGTAAGTAAATATGCATATAAAAAAATCACATGTTTTAACTTCTCTACCAGAAATTATTAAATGTAAATAACAGGATAATCTCTATAAAAAGTAACGCACTTAATTTTGGAAAATTCAGAATGTTTACTGTGGGGGGCTTAGTTTTAAAAGCACCATCTTACCATAGCGGTTGTGATCATAAGATTTGTGATACTGATAATGGTCGTCATCAGAACGACAAATAAGTACGGAGCAAGGATTGGTCTCATTTTGTACACCGCCCTGCAACGAGGAAACAATTGAAGAAGGTAGAAATAATTGGATGAGTGAATTACATTTAGTGGAGTGGAGCACTAAATTAACATATAAAACTAAAGCACTTCGTTACATGCTTCCTCTTCAAAATTTTCGGAGAAAAACGAATTCCGCAGTGGCAGGCCCGAGAAGAAAATCCTAGATTAGACATATTGTTTCAGTAGGGAATACGCTCGTAGGCCACTACGCTGACCATACCCCACGCTTTGCTCTTTCAAGAAAAAAAACAAAAAAACAAAAAAAAACCATCATGTTCGAGTTTTTTAGCCAACGTGTGTTAAAGCTTACGACCCGTGCGTCCACCGCAATCAATTTGTGAAAAAAAAACCTCGTTCTAATTTCAAAAATTTAAAAAAAGCGGGCTCATGCAGAGGTTATTCTGCCATCCGTCGATAGCCGCAAATAACACAAATTTGGGCCCCGCAGATCAATTTATGACAAGAAATAAAAATGTAGGGAGTCGAAAAGCTCCACACACAAAAAAAAGTTCGGTTCATATTGAACACCGAACTTCTGTCAGCCAACCGAAATTTTGCTCCTACGGCCGAAAACTTCGGCTACCTGACCTGGTAAAATTCTGTGTTCAATATAAACCGATGTTCAGCATACGTGACCAAAATTATTTTCTCAATGTATGAGGATGATAATTAGCATGTATAACGTGATTTCTAAGTCATCGAAGGTTCTCTGAGCTCACCTCATGCAGGTCTGATGATGCTCGATGCACTGCGTCAAGTAATCGCGATCGCTTTGAATGATCAGGGTATCAGTCATGTCTGTCTTGAACTCCATCATTTCGCCGCCGTTGAATGGCATGTTTTTCGAATGAAGTTTTGCCAAAAACAAAGCCCGCTTAGTTTTCGCTTCAACGTTGTAGCCCACTTGAGTAAGTGCTCTTTCCAGTATGTCAAGCTGACATCCTAGCAATATGCATAGGATTGGAGTGAGAGTGTTGCCTGGAAATTATATCAGATATTTAAAGTAAAATACTGAAGTTGTTATTATTTATTCCTCAATGCGTTTTACGTCTTTTTCTTTTCCTTTTTTCCTTTCCTATCAGTCAAGAAAATGCATTATTTATACAAAAAGATGTCGTTCATATTGGCTGTACCGTAGGGTTACTGCGTGATGATTGACTCTCTAAATACCCAAAGTCTCACTTTTTTCATAATTTTGTTTATAGGTATATCCATTAGATTTCCATGATTGTTAGATTACATACAATATCTTTGAATAAAGCTGTCACCCTTAAATTTTTGAAATAAGACCTGGATTTTCGTTATTGCAGCGAAACGATCCTTAAGTGGGATACTAGGCCACTCTGCGGCCAAAAGAGACCTTTACCATTTGAAGCATGTGTAGCAGAAAAAATTTAAAAGTGCGCGTGAATAATTGTAAATGTATTACAAGTTAAAAGGAATTTTATAGACTTTTTTCAGGCCTGCATGTGTCTTTGTATTATCCTACAGATTTGCATAAGCCCCCCCCCCAAAAAAAAAATTGAAGAAAGTGAGCAAAAGTCCACATTTTCAAGAAACTGTGAATAGCTCCACTTATAATGACATTTCTTAAGTCACCATCAAATTATATAGAAATATATTGGCAAAAATTAAATTTCGGGTGTTTAAGGCGGTAAATGTACCCCTTAAGTTTTGACAATTTAAATTACAACCTCCAACTAATAAAATAAAAGGTCGCAATCCAAAATAATGAAGCATTTACCAAAACAGATGCCGCTGAGGCAGGCCGTGCCGTGAAGGAACTGGATGACAATTATGAGCCAAAATTCAACCGGTTCGTTCTCGTTGAGGCCGTAGTTCTGCCTACCGTAGGCCAGTGGAAGCGTCGAGTAGTTGACGTCGGGCAGCCGCGCGAAGAACGTCACCACGGGGGGGCTGCACCATATCACGTACATGAGCTCATACGCGAAGATGCTCAGGATAAGGAAACGCTTCGCGAATTTGTCCCGCAGGGGTTGAACGCTCCGCACTATCTCCGGCGCGTAGAGTAGGGACTGCTCCATGCTCACTGGTCAACAAAAATGTCAGTGCATGGAAAATTTGTATCATTCTTTTAGTCTATTTGTAACTTTGGATGTGGCATTTTTAGACGATGCACTGAAAAAAAGACTACATAGACGTACCGTCCGTTCCGGGCTCAGGGGCCGAAAGTTACAGGTGCTGGAGCCATATTTTCGATCGCTTCGGGTGCTTCAGTGCCCAGAACTTCCCACCTCTGAGCCCGAAACGTGAACGGTACGTCTATATAGCCCGTAAGTACGGCGTCCACGGCCGGAGTTTTTTTTTAGTGTGGAGGAAAACTGTGACATTTTCAAGTATTAAAGTAGGTAAAAAAAGAGTTCTGATAGTTTTATTACTCATTTCAGGTATGTTAGTAGGTCATAGAGGTATAATCATCAAAAAAGACAACATTTTGGAGACTTAGAGTTCATATCCGTTGAAGATGGGACAAATCTAGGTAAAAATTTCAGAGACTCTCTTCAACTTTTGCAAAACCCAACAACATCCTCAGAATCTGAAGGAACTATACTTTCAAATGGCAGCAAAACTTGATCAATTCATGTTGACGAATATTTACTTAGTTCCTCGCGACTTTCTGAGATTTAGAAAAACTGAATGTATGCCCATTTGATACTTCGTGCTTCACTTGAACCATCTTTTGCAAGAAGGAACCACTATTCCTGGCTCATTTTATAAACAGCATTGTATGCCACAGGTTTATCTATGCAGAGAGGTGCTTTTCTAAAAGAGCCGAAGATGGTGGTTCCTTATTGCAAAATTAAATCCACTTGTAGTCAATGTTTCCTTACATCTAAGAAGCACCAGAACCTCGAAAAATTCCCTCTTGTGCTTGTAGTAGTTGAAAATGATGAAGACGTAGCCGACGGCATTGATAACGACACCGATGATCTGAAAGACGGTGCGGTAGTCTCGGTCGAGGAAGTGGTAATAAGCATCCTTGATTTCGAAGTACATCGGATAAGAGTTGAAAAGGAAGAGCGTCACCGCATAGGTATAGTAGAGGAGCTGCTTGGGCCAACTCCATCGTGAGTCGCAGTTCAAACCGAAGTATCGCGCGACCAAAAACACAGTGGTCAAGGCGTCCCCTTTCCGAATCTTAGCAAAGAACTGGACACAGATACGATCGCATAAACTTGTACAAATATTTCAATGGTTCAAATATGCAGAATACATCGATGGCGACACTGCAGAAGTGCGTATCTCGATTTTAAAAGTTTTGCGTAAGCTGCATAAACGTATTGTTGAAGATAGGTTCTATCTGCCACCGATAATCAAAAAAAAATTGAGACGTCACATACAACCGTAGAACTTTTTCTGCGAATGTTGGACTTCATCCGCCAGCAGCAGGTATAAAGCAGTAATTGAAAAAAATGGGTATCTCATGATTTTAGGTCAATTCTTAGTGCTGAAAACACGAATCTTGGTATTTTTGCCGTATTTTCTAACAGTTCGAAAAATTATTCAAAATGCGGATGGAGTCCAGAAAAACATCATATTCTTGCTATCCTTTTGAATTATTTCCCTTTTTCTGACAAAAAGGAGGAGTGTATAAAAATCGTTTGCTCTTCTGAAAAATCGTGTTTTCCGAGATACGCGCTTCTACAATTTCACCATCGGCATACAGACGGATCACATAGAAAAATAAAAATATGTAAATGGCTGAAAATAGACAAATTTGCCGAAATTAGCCCAAAATAGTCATTCCGTCACTTGTCATTGGAGGAGATAGGGCAAAAGGGTTAGATATAGAGGAGAGAGTGAGTTGTGAGGGAGGGGGAACAAGGGAAAAAGGGAGAGGGGGGCGTAAAAATAACGGGTTCACAATAATTGAAAATTATTCAAAATGCTGATGGAGTCCGGAAGAACATCATATTCTTGCAATATCCTCAAGAATTATTTCCCTTTTCCTGACAATAAGGAGGAGTGTATACAAATCGAGTTACTGCAGCAGCTAAAAATGATTTTTTACCCGATGGACCACTGAAATCGTCCTAAATTACATAATTGGAAAATAATTGACAACAAACCATTGATGTTTTGACGACTGTTGCTTGTTTGTAGGCGTTTTATGGAGGATTCATGACCTAAATGTTCCAAAAAGCACGTGACACTTATGAGCAGCAACATTACCATAGGAGAAAGGCTGGACTCCTTACAAGGTTGCATAATAACGATTGTTCAAAATGTCATCCTTGACAATCACGTTTCCAGGTATTAACTCATTGCAGTGTTATAATTAAAACAATTTTCCGCTCGCAAAAACACACCTCTCAATGCATTGGGGATAATTACTCACTATTCTTGGCGGTATTCCGTGTCATTTCTTGGACACATTATCACTGTATCCAGAACTATCGAGGATATTCCACTCCCTTTCATTTCCTAACTCCCTGTCTACTGATGACGTTTCAGATCTTAAAAACAAGGTTATTGGGCCAAAACTGACGATTCAATTTTTCTTATTTGATAATTTTTTTTTATATTTACTTATTTTTCAAGGAAAAAACAAGTTTTGTCGGTGATTCAAATTTCCAATGCTATTTTCTCCCGGTATTTGCAACTATACTTACGCTGCGTGGGGGGTGGGGGTGAGGTGAATTTTTTGCGTGCGGGCTGTACTGCGAGGATTTAAAACGACAGAGCACCTTTAACTTTTTGTTTATGCTTCGAAAACATTTCTTAGGTGTGAATAGTTCCACACGGGCGTGGGATGTGAATATATTTTGTGACACAGTTTTGATATATTGATGGGCTAAGCTCAGTTGGTAAAACAACTTTTCGTGGCTAGGAAATATATTTGTAGTATAAACGAAAAGTTAAAAGCATTCTGTACTTTTGGATCCTTGGAGTACTGTCACTGTCCGCCGCCCAAGCCACGATGCGCCGCGCGGGTGAACCACTGACACCTGTAGAATTTAAACGCCTTCTTTTCAGTGCATATGCAACACGGGCATCTCGGGAGCTCAAATAGTTGCATCCAGGTGTTTTAGTACAATTTGTCCTGTGTTCGTCGCATGTGCCATTAATTAAGGGCGCTTGGCTTGTATTTCTTACTTCGTAACTTAATTCTAGCGTTGCCGGAGGCCTGTTGTACCAATGAAGTAAACGATTACTGAGTTTTATCGCCCCCTTGTCAATTTCCCAAGAAATGAATTGATTTTTTGAATGTATTAAATGTTGCCGTTCTTCGGAATTGCGAAAAATAGCTATGTGAGGATGATTTTTTGAAATTCTTTGACCTATTTTAACTAGTCGTCCTTTTTTTTATGTTCCCTCTTTAGGAAACCTACCTTTTGATGTTTAAGGGTGAAATCTTCCAAGGACAATCTTGATAGTTCTCACAGAGTTCTGAACAGAAACAACCTGATATCTGCGGCAGGGGGTTATAGGACATTTCGTCAACGATTTTTTGTCCGCGCACCTGTTTTTTCCAGTAATTTACATCCACGCGTTTTTTCGGCACGGGAGTTTTGGTCCACGTGCCAGTTGAGACCCAAAGTTAATTGGCCCACATGTAAATACAAACGACAATTGCTCACGAAGTTTTTGGATGAAAATATATAATGTCTTGGAAAAAGGAGGGTTTGCTTGCTTTTTTATTTTGTCTGTTTGGTCCAACGGAGAATAATATATAGTTGAGAGTTTTGGTAAAAATGGGGGAGCGTCAATTCCATGAGACAAAATTCACTAAATTTCTCTATACCTCCTTGGTGTAACTTAATTATCTTTCAAGAAATTCTCACCTTGACCTCACCCGAACCGGATAAACCTCTATATTTGCCTCAGCTAAAGGCTCTTAGATTTTTTCTGTGTACGATAAGTATCTTGATTTATTTTGCGGAGAAAGATCTGTAATTTTAAAGGATGCCTGCCATTTTTAATACGTTCAATTTCGTATAGTACTGTGCAACACCTCTGTTGTGAAATAGTTTCTTCAGGCGCCGCCGCACGGCGCGGCGCGCGGGCGGGCGGCCAGCGCGAAACGCGCATTGGCGCCTACAAACCTAAGTGGATACTTCAAGCATTGTGCAGTGCGTGGAGTGTCCACTTAGGTTTGTAGGCGCCAGTGAGCCTCTCGCGCTGGCAGCGCGCCGCTCCGCTCTGTTGATCTTTAATATTTATACTCGCATAGTAAGCGTTTTTTAACTCATGATTTTGAAATGTTAGCACACTCTGCATTGATTATTCTCATTTAAATTGATGGAGAAAAAATTTGTATCAATTTATCAAAGGAGAATAATAATATAATGTATGTTTTTTAAATATTGGTGGTTCCGTGTCTTTAATGATTTCCAAAGCACTTTAATTTTTGCTTTTACATTTTGTGCTTTTTTTGTGCTGCAGCGAGGTGTACGCGCAACGAAACGCTCAAAATTTGACGTATTTGACTCTAAAAGATCGATGCACAAATGGGTTAAAACTAAAGATTGCGTGCTTCTTGCTTTTTTTCCCCTCTTTTATTCATTTTTGCAGTTTTTGTCGGAACAACTGCAGCTCATTGAGATTAATGTCGCTTGAAAAAGGTTTTACAAATATTTTCATGTTTTAAAATATAAATGTTTTCAACATGAAGTAATAATTTCGTAAAGAAAAAATTAAAAAAAGTACCTATACATTCAATATTTTAAGGATAGAAATAAAACCAAATATTCACCAATGACAATTTAAAAAGATGATTCAAAAGGAGAAAGTAATAACATTTCATTTAGAAATTGAGCAACCATAACAACACCTCCTTCTCTCTCAATTTCTCAAATCCATATTGTCAATTAATTTTACATACCGACTAAAATATAACGCTTGGACCAAGTCACTGTTGCTTAATTTTCGTGTGGGCGTAAACTACTGGACAAAAAATCATTGACGAAATGTCCTGAAACCGCGGCAGGGAATTTGTCAAGAAGAAAAAAAACTATGGTGTCCACTTTTAACCAGTTTTAATAAATCGTATTAACGAAGATAAGCTTTTTAAATTTCCACCTCATGTGCGACCTTTTCTTTTGACTCACCCTACTGTCTACCAACCACCCAGTTGAGCAGTTTTTCCGCGCCTCCAACGAGAAACTGTCAAGGGAACGCTTTTCTCTGTGTTGACGGATCCGATTTTTATCAGTGTGCGTGTGAGGGAGGGGATGGGGGGGGGGATAACCCATCCTCGTCCGAATGACACGAGTACTCACATAGATGTGATTATATAAAAATCGATTCGAATCCATGGAATCCTATGGCTTATTATTCAGAATTAAGATCGATGAGAGTGTTAAAGGATGAAGCCGACCAGTCGACCTACCATAATCCCGCGTGGTGGATGTTCATGTCGTTGCTGATCAGTCTGACGGGGCAATCAGCCGTGCCGTGAAATTACTCGGCGCACACTGCCATATTTCACCGTGAAACGTGGCCATCATCATTTAAGGGCTGAAAATGCTCACTTCAATCGCGCCCTCATACTTAAGTGAATTACTTAAGTGACTGTATCTAAAGTGAAAATCAAGGATTCGGAACTCAACCCTGGGGCCGAAGTTTTCGGTTCTTTCACATATAGGTGCTATATCCATCGATGAGTCCAAACCGCACCACCAACCAATCAGAAGCGCTCAGCCGGACTTAAGTGCGGATAAGATTCGTCCTGAGTATTTTTAGGTACGATGGAAGAACCAACAAAGTTCGGCCCCAGCCATTTTCCTGCTCTACCTAGGGCGAGAATGATCAAATGAAGTCGACAAAAATTTAGCAAAAATTGACTTTAACCGTGGTTCATTTGAGGGACCTGTGAGACAAGGCGCATCGGTGCAGTTTTTGAACAAAATCGAGATACTAATTATTTCAAGTAAAACTAGTCTTAAAGCATATTTTAAGAAAAATTCGCTCTCAAAATTCATCAAAAAGTTGGTTTGAACTTTCTTCCTGTCATAAGGATTCATAATGTTGGAACTTCAAACACGTATTTCTCGAAATAGCAAAAACTTCACTTAAGCGGCTTACATGGTGTCTTGTCGATTGGTCTCATGTTAATCCTGTTTTCATAATAATCTGGTCACTTTTTGGTGCATTAACCGCTGGAGATAGGATGTTTTAAGTTATGCTCTTCGCAGATACGAGTACCATCGAATTGCCTACAATACAACCCGAGTTCAATCTATCACTAAAAATGTATTTTTAATACGTGACACAAAAAGTTGATCGTGACTAAATAATTCTCATTAATTAAGTCGATCGCAACCTAACATGAAGGGGACAAGAAAGAAAAGAAACCAAATCATTCAAGAAACAAAAAACAAAACCAAATTGAATAAAAACGGATCCAATTCCATNTTTAATACGTTCAATTTCGTATAGTACTGTGCAACACCTCTGTTGTGAAATAGTTTCTTCAGGCGCCGCCGCACGGCGCGGCGCGCGGGCGGGCGGCCAGCGCGAAACGCGCATTGGCGCCTACAAACCTAAGTGGATACTTCAAGCATTGTGCAGTGCGTGGAGTGTCCACTTAGGTTTGTAGGCGCCAGTGAGCCTCTCGCGCTGGCAGCGCGCCGCTCCGCTCTGTTGATCTTTAATATTTATACTCGCATAGTAAGCGTTTTTTAACTCATGATTTTGAAATGTTAGCACACTCTGCATTGATTATTCTCATTTAAATTGATGGAGAAAAAATTTGTATCAATTTATCAAAGGAGAATAATAATATAATGTATGTTTTTTAAATATTGGTGGTTCCGTGTCTTTAATGATTTCCAAAGCACTTTAATTTTTGCTTTTACATTTTGTGCTTTTTTTGTGCTGCAGCGAGGTGTACGCGCAACGAAACGCTCAAAATTTGACGTATTTGACTCTAAAAGATCGATGCACAAATGGGTTAAAACTAAAGATTGCGTGCTTCTTGCTTTTTTTCCCCTCTTTTATTCATTTTTGCAGTTTTTGTCGGAACAACTGCAGCTCATTGAGATTAATGTCGCTTGAAAAAGGTTTTACAAATATTTTCATGTTTTAAAATATAAATGTTTTCAACATGAAGTAATAATTTCGTAAAGAAAAAATTAAAAAAAGTACCTATACATTCAATATTTTAAGGATAGAAATAAAACCAAATATTCACCAATGACAATTTAAAAAGATGATTCAAAAGGAGAAAGTAATAACATTTCATTTAGAAATTGAGCAACCATAACAACACCTCCTTCTCTCTCAATTTCTCAAATCCATATTGTCAATTAATTTTACATACCGACTAAAATATAACGCTTGGACCAAGTCACTGTTGCTTAATTTTCGTGTGGGCGTAAACTACTGGACAAAAAATCATTGACGAAATGTCCTGAAACCGCGGCAGGGAATTTGTCAAGAAGAAAAAAAACTATGGTGTCCACTTTTAACCAGTTTTAATAAATCGTATTAACGAAGATAAGCTTTTTAAATTTCCACCTCATGTGCGACCTTTTCTTTTGACTCACCCTACTGTCTACCAACCACCCAGTTGAGCAGTTTTTCCGCGCCTCCAACGAGAAACTGTCAAGGGAACGCTTTTCTCTGTGTTGACGGATCCGATTTTTATCAGTGTGCGTGTGAGGGAGGGGATGGGGGGGGGGATAACCCATCCTCGTCCGAATGACACGAGTACTCACATAGATGTGATTATATAAAAATCGATTCGAATCCATGGAATCCTGTGGCTTATTATTCAGAATTAAGATCGATGAGAGTGTTAAAGGATGAATCCGACCAGTCGACCTACCATAATCCCGCGTGGTGGATGTTCATGTCGTTGCTGATCAGTCTGACGGGGCAATCAGCCGTGCCGTGAAATTACTCGGCGCACACTGCCATATTTCACCGTGAAACGTGGCCATCATCATTTAAGGGCTGAAAATGCTCACTTCAATCGCGCCCTCATACTTAAGTGAATTACTTAAGTGACTGTATCTAAAGTGAAAATCAAGGATTCGGAACTCAACCCTGGGGCCGAAGTTTTCGGTTCTTTCACATATAGGTGCTACATCCATCGATGAGTCCAAACCGCACCACCAACCAATCAGAAGCGCTCAGCCGGACTTAAGTGCAGATGAGATTCGTCCTGAGTATTTTTAGGTACGATGGAAGAACCAACAAAGTTCGGCCCCAGCCATTTTCCTGCTCTACCTAGGGCGAGAATGATTCAAATGAAATCGACAAAAATTTAGCAAAAATTGACTTTAACCGTGGTTCATTTGAGGGACCTATGAGACAAGGCGCATCGGTGCAGTTTTTGAACAAAATCGAGAAACTAATTATTTCAAGTAAAACTAGTCTTAAAGCATATTTTAAGAAAAATTCGCTCTCAAAATTCCAATTTTTAAGCATTAAAAAGTTAGTTTGAACTTTCTTCCCGTCATAAGGATTCATAATGTTGGAACTTCAAACACGTATTTCTCGAAATAGCAAAAACTTCACTTAAGCGCCTTACATGGTGTCTCGTCGATTGGTCTCATGTTAATCCTGTTTTCATAATAATCTGGTCACTTTTTGGTGCATTAACCGCTGGAGATAGGATGTTTTAAGTTATGCTCTTCGCAGATACGAGGGGAAATCTAGACATTTATAAAACACGCAGCGGTTGTTGTCTCACCGTATCCCAACAATCCCACTTGTGTGCAACAACTATTTCATCAGAGCGTCCAAAAGCAATCGGGGAAAACTTTTAGTGGGTCAGCCTAGGAACTTTCAAAGTTTTATGTTTTTTGTTGACAGTGTGAAAGATTTGATCGAAGTCCACTATCAAGCGCTAAATCGCTGTAACGTGCGTGTCTGACATAGAGTTCCGCCCCAGAACTTGACCAACTTTTGGTCAATTGCATTAAATAATGAGCATCTAATATGGATCACAACGGTATGCTTGGTTTAAATTTAAGGGTTAGTGTGATAATTTTATCTCACCAGGTCCGTCAAAAATTGCAGAAAAGCAGTGAAGCAGAAAAAAAATTCCTTTCAATGACGGGTAGCTACAAAAACTCTAAATGTTATCTTTAAATAATTGATTGTATTCAGGACAAATAAAACATTAGCGTACAAAAATCAGTTTCAGTGAAAAACATTCACAGATTCCGACGAACACGGCAAAAAATAACACTGAACACATGCAGGAAAAAAAATCAAACATGATGCTCCAATGTGCTTTCATGAAAGGATGATATAGGATTTACGCAGTTTCAAAAAAAAAAAAAAAAAAAAAAAAAAAAAAAAAAAANAAAAAAAAAAAAAAAAAAAAAAAAAAAAAAAAAAAAAAAAAAAAAAAACTGTGCATGCCATGTAATTTCAAATTGTCTGCCTCAGCAGGAACTATTTTCTTAGCTGCCAGAGATTAGTTCTGCCCAGTGATAGATCAAAGAGAGCTTAAATTAGTTAACAAAAATTTTTCAGGCTGTTATCATTCCTGGTTGCGCGTAATTCCGAAAACTCAAGGTATTTTTTATTTCTCTTGATTTATAAGAATAAAAGGAAAGATAAGTGCTTTAAATTAATGGAAAAGATATTCTCCAGAAATATTGATATTAGTTCACAAGACCGGTTACTTATTTAGGACCATTTATCAATTTCTGTAACTATTTCTCTCTCTCCCTGCATGGGCACACAAGTTCACGGTGGCATAAGGTTCTGGGGCGGTGCCCACGGATGCAATAAATTTGAAAAAACTGAACACGGATTTTGCGCAAATTGTACCTACACACCACGTGCTTCCGACTTCAAACACACTAACCTACTAACATTTAAAGCTCACCACTACACTCGTTTTTCCGCGATGGTCTCGTTCATAGTGTACCATCGAATGATCTCATTAACTGATTTTTAATCTCTTTAAATAACATGACAGAACAGTGACTTAAAACTGTGGAAAAACACGTGAAACTAATAAAAACTTTATGCAAACACCTAGAACTATTGAAAACTGCGTTAAAACATCCCAATCGAATGAGAGCTTTTCATAAAAAGGTGACTGCCGCTGCCTGGCAACGTGAACCGATAAATATTAATTGTGACCGGACTTCCGCCTCGCATCAACAATTAATTCGAACTGAAATCATTAGTAGCTTCCTCAGACCAACTTGCCACGTGTTGAAGTTCATTTTTGATGCGTGTGCTTCACTCCCTAAAAACACTGCACGTGTCACTCTTGCTATTGGTTTAGCGGTTAAACAACCCACCGGCCAGAAAAAACGGTGATAGGTCAAAATGTCCGAAAAAAAATGTCCAAAAGTCAAAATGTCCAAACCCTGAATGCCCAAAAATGTAAAAAGACCAAATATCAGTTATGTCCAGCAGACAAATAAGTCCAAAAGTAGGCGAATGTCCAAATTAATGGAAATAGTAATTATATACTAACTAAATAATAATATTATATAAAACTGTTTGTTATGTTTGTCAATATCACTTAAAATTTAGAAAATAAAACACTGTTGCACTATTGCAAACCTGCACCGAAAAATCAAATGACAACTCAACCAATGCCTAATCTCTCATTTGGACATTCGCCTATTTTTGGACTTGTTTGATATCTGGCACTAGTGTTAGTTAATGGCATTAGTTAATTTGACATTACTGATATCTGGCCTTTTTAAATTTTTGGGCATTCAGGGTTTGGACATTTTGACTTTTGGACAATTTTTTTTGGACATTTTGACCTATCACCGAAAAAACCCACCAAAACTTCTTAGGAGTTTTCTTGAAAACAGTGGGTCTATTGAACGCGAGAAATGCAGCCAACTAAATTTATTTCTTGCGGGTAAGTTCGCTCGAAATTCACGTTCGGCCCACCAAAAAAAATTTTGAAATCCACTCCTTAGAGCGCAATCTGCGTAAATTTTAACACGCTTTTCCAAATGTATCGCGTCTGCGGGCACTTTTTCTTGGTGGTCAGCGGTCAGGTTTGCTCGGAGAGAGACCTAACCTTAATAAGAAAAGATCGATCTCCAGAACTGTTATAAACCCTCCTCGCGTAAGATTTCAATTGATTCAAAGCTTTTTTTGTTGCACTTGAAGAAAAGGAGGGCAGAAAACGTACAGAGGACGCTTTGCCAAATTGTGGACTGAAGGAATAAGGCAGGAAATGAGGAGATGCGACCTGCCGGAGGAGCTGTGGCAGGATCGCTATCAGTGGCGGTTGGGTGTCACAGAGTTCTTAGAAGCGCTATAAGATTGACTTGTTAGGAGTAGTAGTAGTAAAAGTAGTTGTAAGAAAAAAAGGGAGCAAGCGCTTGAAGAATATTGAAACCGTACAACAGATAAAGTTAGTGAAATCATGTGTTTACTCAGGTTAATTTTCCTTATATTTATAATTACAATCTTATGATTTCTTACTTTATAATCTTAATAATTTATCATATGATTAACCCCCTATTTTGATACCAAAAAGGGCGTCACCTTCAACTTAGTTTAGTCACCAGAAGTCGTGTCCTGTCATAGAGAAAGAGAAAAAAGAGGTGTTTTCATCTCGGGCATCTTGGATTTTTTTGATGACGTAGGTCAGTGCGGACGACTTTTATCATCAATTTCCCTGGAAATTGCGCGGTTTATGGAAAAAAGTCATTCCATATGAAGTTTTTGAAAGTATAATATCATGAGTTGATGTGAGCAAAAGAATCGGAAGTTATGGTCCGTTTTTCATACTTTGAATTCCGGATTTTGCTGGCCATATTGTATACCGGCCTACGTCACGGGGTAAACAATTCTCAAGATGCAAACATCTTCTTCTTTTTCTCTATGGTGTCCTGTTTATGTTTAAGGGCCGTCCAAGTATTCCGTAAGGAATTCTGGCTGATTTTCACCCTTCCCCCCTCCTCTCTTCTTGTTAGGCAACCTTTCACCCACCAGATTTCGAATCACGTCGTGCGTGAATCGAAGGAAAGCTCCATCGAGGTTTTGAAGGGGGCGGTGGCGGGGGCTCATTTTTGGGTAGTCGAAAGTGCTGAGGGTGGGGCTTCCGGGCGTTGCTAAGGTAAAACTCGGGGTCGTCGATGTTCGTCTCGTCTGTGATGCGGCGGTGGAGCGGGCAATCGTCGTTGATCGGCAGGTGCGACGGCTTGAACCAGCTCCCGAACGTCGTGCCGTAAATGACGTAGTCGACGTAGTGCTTGCAGTGACACTGCGTCACGCTTACGTACAGGCCCACCACGTCGCTCATGCGCAGCGCCAACTTGCTACTCTGCTCGTCATCTGCATCACCAATTCAAATACCGATTCAACAGAGGCGAGGCGTGAATGATCGATTATCGATATTTCCTCAATTGAAGCTACACTGGAAAAAAAACACATTGGATTTAGAGTTCAGACTCTTGAAAACATTGACGAGAAAAAATACTCGTGATTCAATCGGATTTTTGCTTCAATCAAAAGGAAATCCGCTCAAATTAAGAGGCTTGGTTCTTGATTTAAGCTTTCTTGTCGATGTTTTTAAGAGTCTAGACTTTAAATCCAATGTGTTTTTTTTCCAAAGTATGGTAAAGAATCGATTATTAAGGTGTTCGTCTCGAACACCCTGTTATCGATCCTTTTCCATAGGTTTAAATGGCAGATCAATCAATATATCGCAAAGCACGCCACGCCACTGCAATTCAAGGTTGGGTAAAAGTGATGGAGTGGGACCTGAGCGTTTTTTTTTTTTTATCATTGTCACCTTCCGGCCAAAGTATCATGAGCGCCATGAGACGTTTGAAAATTTCGCCGCAATTTTATTATTTTACGGAGAATGTTGGTCGAATCTGTTTGAAAATTTTGCAGAATTTTATCGGCAGCACAAAGAAAATTCAGTGAAATTTTCGGACAGCTTCGTTGAAAAATTTCTCTGTAAAAAAAATAAAATGGCGGCGTACATTTTTAAATGTTGCATGACGCTTGTGATACTCTGGCCGGAAGGTGACGTTATGCCATTTCAATTACAGGTATTTACACGAATACTAAGCTATTTTAGCTAATTGCTCCAATATGTTCTACTTAAACAAAACTACTCGTATATTTAATTGACTATTCATATCTAACTGTTGTGGTGACACGTATCTCCTCTTCATTGTAATTTATTTGCTTAGTTATCTAATCATATAGCGATATGTGCTTCCACTTTCGGGCCTATTGGTGGAACTATAAGGACTTTTTGTGAAAGGGCCAAAGGAGCCATCAAGGGAAGATCTGGGGGCACTTAAAGACATCCCTCTGAGGGGAATCCGTGGGACTCTCGTAGCTTCAGGATGAAGAGGAATTCGGGGGAATTTCCAAAAATTAAATTGAAAACTTGAGCTGTTTCAAGAGCAATTCCTACTGAAAAATTAACGGAATGTTCCTTATATGTCAGGATTGCCAGAGTAAGCACTTTACCGGGCCAGTTTTTGGAAATTCGATTAAATATGCCGGACCAATTGCTCAACTTTTTGATCACCATTCGTCATTTGGCGAATCTGAGCGTTGACCTCTTGCAATAACTCTTATACAATTGGGAAGATAGCAATTCAGAGTCATGATTGTTAATGTTCATGTATACCTTTTTTCTTTGTCAATAGTCTAAGCTTGTACTTACTTCTCTTCTTTTCTAAACGATGGACCCGTCCACGCGGTTGAAAAATTAAATAAATTTCACAATTCGGTAACTTACTGAGTTTTGGAATAGGTTTTCCATCTTTCATTTTTACGTCCGGTGCCTGGCAGACGGCCAATCCCCAAAATTTTTTGTCGCGAAAGGAATTCCTGTCGTCTTCGGACCAGGTGGCAAACTCCGGGTAAGGGCGTCCTCCTCGGTTCCCATTCAGATGGAAGTATTCTCTGTCCGAAAAAAAGTAAGACCAGTGGCCGTAACAACCAATCACTATGTCTCCTTTTTTCATTTCAATTGCCTCCGTTGGCTCTTGTCTGATCTGAAAGGCGAGCCAGATCAGGACGAGGCGGAGTGTCACTGATGAAAAACAAAAAAAAAATTAATTTTAGAGACCCCAAAGCGTAGGGTACCCATGATACTGATATTATGGACATAAAAAGAGTCATTTGCAGATTCTACTAGGCCTTAATTCCTGAAAATTTGAAAAGCCTGGAGCATGGATGTGCTAATCCCTCGATGTCTACGGATAATGAAATCCCGTCTGAAGTTGGCTGAAGGTGCTAGACAAGCCATTAGACCAGCAGAAAAAGAAGTCATTTTTTCCTAACAAAATTGGCCTAGTGGTTAGGACATCAGCCTCTAAGTCCATTAGTCCTAGATTCGGAGCACGGCACGGATAGTGGCGCAGTTTCATGGATTTGACGAGTTGGTTTGGTGAAAAAAATTCGTTTACGTCACAACCCTAGAAAATTTGAAAAAATCCGAAAATAGATTGAATCCATATGGATGAGTATATGGATAAAAACTCATGATATATATGGATGAGTCCACATTTTACCCTATCATCTGATTGCTGTAGACCCCTGACAGAACTTGCAGTTAAATGAACAGGAACTAAGTAAGAGAAGAAAAATAAATTTTGCAAGGCTCTGCCACCTTGAGCATTATGCGTTTGCGTATGCAGGGCCAGCAAAATAGCAAACTATGTAAACAGATTACTTAAAACGATAGAAACTATTCTTCTTTTGTGTGTAGAATAATGAAATTCACTCAGATCAGACGTAAATATTAAATTTCGCACTAGTTTTGTGCATTTCATTCGCCATAAATATAAGCAAAGCAACGCTTTGAGGATGACATTACCCTCTTTCTTCCAAGAGGCTTTCTGGGCATTTCACTACAAGGCGGACTGTTGGAGAGTTTCTCTCAGAAAAAATTTGGAAAAATTGCCCTCTCTTAGATGCATTGTGAGGCTTTTCTACGGGTTTTCGAATTTACGCAAACTAAGAGCCACACTACGCTAATAATCCTCGAAAATTATCTCAAATTGTTTTCTCTTCCTCCTTCCCCCTTTTGTAAAGTAACGTTTATATTTGCTAGCAAGGCCTGATTACTTCTAATTCCTGAAGAAGGGGAGGGGGAACCCCATTTTGACCCTTCAAGAGCTGCGCCGTTAAACATAGACCTATACTCCAATATGGCAAGATTGCAATACGTCCATATATTAGGGGCAAATTCGCCTAGGAAGAACTTATCATTGACTACAGGAGTCCTGTAGTTGACTTCATTGAGTGGCCAGGAGGCCACCCTTAGGCAAGCAGGCAGGAAGATATCTAAAATGAGGAGGAACAGAAACTGCAATAAAAACTAAGTATAAAATAAAATACTTACTTGTAATGTAACACTCGTTCTTGCATGAAGTAGTCTTTCACCTAATGCTTAGCACTAAATGCTGATATTCACGTTTCTCACACGGAACATTCAACCGGAATGGAACCCCCATTTAACAATGATAATCTTGACGTCGTAGGAGAAAATTGCTCACAGTTCCTATTCTCTTTTTCTTCATGAAAAGTACCGCCCAAAAATGGATTGTACGGACTAGGGCGCAGCAGTTTTTCAGAACTGAGTCTCTAATTGTGCTCCAAAAAAATTGAACGTCCTTTTTGAAATGAGCAGAACCGCACCATGCCATGACGAATGGGCACAGAAAAAAACCTGCCTCTCAAGTTTTGTGCGGATGAGTTTTGCGTCAAAAATGTTAAGCTTGTTTCATCTAAAATTCCACCTTCCCTGTCCTCGATGCTAGGATCGTTTGCGTAGGATCCCAAAAAAATACTTTTTGTACATTGAACAAGGTAAAATATTCTTAGAAAAAATATTTTTGAGAGAGGAGAAAAATAGTGATTTTCAGATCTTTAAAATGCTGCAAAATTTAATGTAAGTATCCTGCATAAAAAATTCAAATTTTGATGCTCTTTTCTCTGTTTTCACCCAAAAAAAAAAAAAAATTATGAAAATACTATTTTTTGAGAACAAGAAAAAAATACGATGTATCGCCGTTAATTCGTTGTCCCTCTGGCGCAAGGGCGTATCTCTATTTCCGCATGAACCCTGAAAAGCATAGAGTTTTACGGAGAACAGGGCTCATCTGGAAATTGATTAGAGGAGAACTTGATAAAGAGAAATTAAGGAGGAGAGGAGAAATTAAGAATTGAATTGATCCTTACGTTAGAGGAGCGACGAATTGAGGCTTCTTGCAAGGTAAATACATACTAAGTTTGGCGCAATTACCTAAACAGGTCTTAATAGCTCACGAATGTACTCGAAATCCGGATTTTTGAAAGTGATTCCTCGGTGAGGAGTTCTGTGTGTTGCCGCCACTTTAACGTATGACTAATTTTAAGTAATTTTCGGGCGAATTTTAGAAGCATTCGACTAACAAGAAGTAGATCGATGTTTTTAGAATAAATTACTAATTTTTGAAGTCAATCAGCCAAAAATTAAGTCAAATGTGCAACCGACAAAACCTTACCGACACAATGTCTACACCCACCCATAATTTTTTTGGGCTGTAATCTTGACTTTATTTTCGGCTAATTAACTAAAAAAATTAATCAGATAGTTTTGGGATATGGACCTAATTCCTGTTGATCAAATAATTAGAATAAAACTCGTGTAATCAAGCGCAACTTGAAAAGATCTTAATGTACGGTGCTTACGGTACTGTGTGCCCTCGATTCACCTTGACCAGCACTCATCGAAAGACAATGCGAATTGCATAGATAATAATTTGAAGGCACTTTGACTGTTTGTTATCGTAGACTTATCCAATGTTTAGAGCTCTTATTTGCAATTTCTGAAATCCGCGACTGCGAATATACTCGCAAATCTGTCCTGATAGTTGCGCCTTGATACTTCGGCAACTTAGTGTTCTTTTCAGCGACACGCATTTGTATATTATTAAAATATCTTCGGATTATTTCAAACTTGCAAAAATGCTATGCTTTCATAGGAGTAGCAAAAATAAAAACTCAAAATTCGAAATTCAAATAATGGGATGTATTGTGGAAAAGTGTATAAACGTACAAAAATAAATTACAATAAACAAGATAGTAGTTTGTCTCTGAAAGAGTCAACTTTCTTGAAAATAAATTACGTAAGAGTAAGGACCAAATAAGTACCTTTCGGTCTCTTTATGCTGTCTCTCGTCATAAAAGTCCTTCGAACCTCTCAACTTTAAGCTAAGTTATTGCTTTTAATCCAGTATCAATCAATTGTACTGATGTATCGATCAATATTCACAGACACACCGGTTTACTTACTTTTGAATACATTTGAATGAATCTCATTTGACTAGATGAATATACAAACAATTTGAAATTGTACAAATATTTACATACAAATATAAAATTACACTGTGTATGATACACTGTTCTTAAACTTTAAAAAGTACAGCTCTATATGGAAGCACACCATAAAGCTCCGAAAATGTCTCGTGGGGAACACAAATCACCTGTTAAAACGACGTGTCTGCTTTAAAATCAGACCATCATTTTACCGTAAAAAACCGAAATGGAAATATGAGGAAATATAAGTTAAACATAAATAAAAAAATAAATAAATAGGTAATAACAAAAATCACAAGATAGCTATCCTCAAACTTTGGATTTTAAATTTTCTTTTCGATGACGGCATGCCCTTAATAGTCGCTGATTTTGATGACCTCTGATTTGTCTTTGACAAAATCTCCAGGAAGGACTTTCCTTCTAATGACATCATCAATACAGAGTCATTATTTTCATCATCAAAACATTAGCATACAAATAATAGAGTTTATCACAACGTTCATTAAATTTTAAAATTAAGGATCCTTATATTACACTTTGACCGCAATAATGCTCAGTAATATCTTACAAAAATGAGAGAAAAGAAACGAATATTGTGGTTTCGAAGACTTGATGAAAATTTTTCATGAAAAATGCATAAGTACACATTGTGCATCAATAGATACGCAATTTTCATCAAAACTATAACTCTGACATTTCTGTTAAAAATTTTGCTGATCTTCATATGTAATCAGAAGACAAATCCCTGACTTCCTCGGCTAAAATTATCAAACAGTCTCCTACTAAAAATATAAAATGCGAGTAGAAATTTGGAAAAATGGAACGTAGTTACATTTTTCCATCAGGAACTCGACGCCTCGTGTCTGTAAGTGTTTTTTATTCTAAATATGTTGCCTCTGCACGCAACGACAAATAAAACATTTTTGTATTTTACTGAAAGTACGATATGCGAGTAGAAATTTGGAAAGTTGGAACGTAAGACGACAAATGAAATATTTTCGTTTTTTACTAAAAATACAAGATATGAGTAGAAATGTGGAACGTTGGAACGTAGTTACGCTGCATGGAACGTAGTTACGATGAAACGTAGTTACGTTGGAACGTAGTTACGCTGGAACGTAGTTACGCTGGAGCGTAGTTACGTCGGAACGTAGTTACGGTGGAACGTAGTTACGCTGGAACGTAGTTACGCTGGAGCGTAGTTACGCTGGAGCGTAGTTACGCTGGAGCGTAGTTACGCTGGAACGTAGTTACGCTGGAACGTAGTTACGCTGGAACGTAGTTACGCTGGAACGTAGTTACGCTGGAACGTAGTTACGCTGGAACGTAGTTACGCTGGAACGTAGTTACGTTCTTCCACCGGGAACACGACGCTTTGTGTCTGTATGTGCTTTTGCTCCCAAATATTTCGCCTCTCCACGCAACGACAGATGACAAATTTTCGTGGCGGGCTGACTTGGACCCGGTAAAAGCGACGTGTGGGTGACTAGATGAAAATCGGCTGGACGGATTTGAGGACTCGGATTTCGGATTTTCAATCCCTGTGGACGTGGTTGTCGTCCTCCTCTTCGCGCTCCTCGGTCATGCAAGACTCCTCGCTGGCGGAGTCGCAGCCGCGGATGCTCCGCGCGGCCCCGTGGTCCTTGATGAGCCCGGCGCCCTGATTGGAGGAGTAGCAGTCGCTGCAGAAGCCCCGCGGCATCTGATTCGCCGCCGACGAGAGGTACACCTTCCCGCATCGGATGCACTCCTCTTGCGTGTCGCCTGAAACAGAGAGAACGGCTGGTTAGTCACGGTTGCTCTATTCGACGAAGAAAAGACAAAATCATTTTATGACCTGTATCGTCCCCTTCCGGCCAAAAAATCACAAACGCCATGCGACGTATTACAATTTTCGCTACGATTTCATTTTTATATAAAGAAGTTGGTATATTTGAGTTTCTTGCGAACGTGCTTTAACAATTCAGCATAAAGCTGAAAATCTCAATACAGAGGGATAAAGCTCATTCGAGCACAGTTTTCCCTCAAAGAGATATGCTGTTTGGTGCTAGATAGATTTGCTGGATATGCTAAATGGACGTAACTAGTGTTGCAACAAACAGCATATCTTTTTGAGGGAAAACTGTGCTCGAATGAGCTTTTTCCCTCTGCATTGAGATTTTCAGCTTTACGCTGAATTTCTAACGCACTTTGGCATAAAACTCCAACATACTGTCTTGCGTCCGTGCGTCCATTGCAATCAATTTGTAAAAAGAAATTGTTGGTTGAATCTGCTTGAACATTCCGCGGAATTTTATCGGCAGCACGAAGAAAATTCAGTGAAATTTTCGGACAGATTCGTCGAACAATTTCTCTGTAAAACATTGAAATGGCGGCGGAAATTTTGAAATGTCGCATGTGATACTTTGGCGGGAAGGTTATAATATTGTCGTGCTAAGGAATAATGCCGTATGTCGTAGATTGGCTCAAAGTTTCTTTTGAGGATACGAATTTTCTTGAAAACTTTTGAAAAGACTCCCTCCATTATTTTGAAGGATTTCATTTGCAACTGGATTTAAATTATTTAAAAATTTCCACTCAGTTTCGCAGTCCAAAAACACTCACACGGAAAAAAACGGAAATCGATTTCTTATGGACCACCAACTTGTTCCGTCGAAGTAACCAAAGTTTTTGGTCATAAGTAATTTGCAGAGACCCGAGTAAAAGCCTGCCATAGATTTTCGGACTTTCTCACGTGTCTATACTCTCCCAATAAAGGTACTCTGATTTTGCAGCTAGGTTTCTCGACGGACCTGCTCAGAAGATTTCCTCTAAAAAGTGAGTCGGTAGGTATCTACTCTCAGTTGTTTTACAAATCAATCAAGAAACTGGACAGCATCATCAACAGATCAGAATATTGAGTCATCGAATTCCGATCAAGTGATCTCATGGCCCAAATATTCCAAATCAAAGGCCCGATCAAATTTAATACTATTGCCCCTGGGCCGAAACATGAGCAGTAAGCGCCCCGACCTTAACCTTTCATTTGAGGCGGTCCGGCGCTATATGCTCGGCTAGACAGGCGTGTTTAGCTAAAACCACGTATCTTTACTCGGATCCTGTTGGATATAAGCGGTTCTCCCAAGTCGAGGAGCCATGGATAATAGCACGTCGCAACACCATTTTCCCGTATTACTATCATTTTGAGACCCTCGAAATTAAGTGTCACTTAATATCCAGGTACCGCTCATAGACCGCGCCTGTATCAGTTTCGTACTACCGAGAGACGTACGTGGGAGCAGCTCCGAGACTCCAGCCTCTATTTATTGAAAAGCATCGTGTAATGCTTAAATTACCTACTTTTTTACAGGGTTGCCGTCGCTAGGTTATCCTAAAACGCGTTCTGACAAATGAAATTAATCTCTTAAGAATGGGATGGGAATGTTCGTCAAAACATTTCCTAAGAGCTCGGAAGCTGTAATTTCAATTTCACTGTTCCCTTTTTGGCATGGAGGGGAAACCGGGGGGAGGGGGTGCAAAGGTTACGATTCAGAGCTCGACCTTGCACTCTCGCTGCTGAATACTAAGCATGCCTCAAGTATAATATAATTTTTTCCCCACTTCGAAAAACACCCAAAATCGTTTTTGGTACTTTCATTCTTGTTTTCGTTTGCTCGTCTATTTTCAACTGAATGAGGTGCCAGGATTGACACTGACGTTAGTATTTTCTCTCCAAAGATTGAACTAAAAAATAAATCACACATAAAAAGTCCGTATTCTCATAAAACAGCTTCAACAATCAATATCCAAACCAAATGGTTTTTTTTTTTTTTTGCTTAGCCGTTTATGGTCATCAACGTTTGCTAAGATTTAGCGTTGGAATCTGTATGACCTAACACAATACTTTACTTTCATTGCGTGAAAAATGTTATAGGTACGGAACAAAAGCGAAGTACTTATTTTGCTTAAAATGTCTTCAGAATGTTCCCCCTCCAAGCATGGAAACTAATGGAGGTTTGCGAAACATGGGTTTTTTTCAGTTTTTCATTGGAAAAAAGTACACACCGCAATTTTTTTCTAATCATTCTCATGAACTACTATGGCTTTTTTTATCGCATCCAGCTCTCATTTTCCGACGAGCAAGCACCGTTTAGCCACAGAAAAATTTCGACAAAACCTACCATTTAGAAATGTTCGTGATGAGTCGTGGATTTTTTTTTTACTTTGTAAAATTTCAATTCTCTCCGTTCATCTCATCCAAAATTTAAAATGGCTTGATTTTACTAAGTATGTTACCTGACTGAGCAAAGCTTCTTTTTTCCACCTATCTTTTTCAAAACTGGTAATCAATGATGGTGAATTTTCAACATCCTAAAATTGATATTTACGTCACCAAAGTTCAGATGAAAATATGCCGAAGTAATAAATCTTCCTCATTAATTTGTTCAGTTCGAGAGCATATCGACGGTGAAACTACCAAACCACGTATCTCGTTTGCGGTGTTTAAAAATCTGCGCTCACATTTTATTTTTTTGAAGTAGATTAAATCAATATCATTCCTTGAAATTTTCACGAAATTTTCTCCGCACAAAGAGGAAAAATATCACAGAGATTTTCAAGACTGGATGTTAAGTAGTTTTTCATTTAAAAAATAAAGTATGACAGGAAGTCTGCGACGTCGCAAACCGAGATACGTGGTTTGGTAGTTTCATCGTCGATATTCAATTAATCATTCAATTGTTTTGCCTTTCTCTACCACCCTGAGTGCGGTCTAGCTGCCACCCTCATTCATAAGATAAAAAAGCCAAAAAGTAAAAATGACATGGATTTACGTTTGAACCGATTTCCGGACGATTGACAACCTGACAACGAGGTAGCAGATCAAGCATAGCCTCCATTATTACGCGGTTTACCCAAGATTCCTGAGGTCCGTTCGTTTGGAATTTAATAAGACTTGGCCCTGTGTTATACAAGCTGCCACAAAACGGGGCTCATTAAAACGCTAGCTTTGTAAAAATAAGAAGGAGCACATCTCGGTAAATCTCAACGAGGGCAATTGTACAGTCGTTAAATACAGATTTGTAAGACGTAATCATACGCCACTCGCAACTGCGGACTCGGCGTTTTTTTTATTGTGCTCACCTTAAGCACCAATCCGGACCTCGTATTGTTTGTTTTTTCCCCGTTTCGCTCCTTAATTGAAAAGCCGGGCGCGCTTTCCACTCGCTTTTCGCCCGTCTCCCGCCAAAATGAGTAATGTTGAATAATTTGAACGGCTACGCGTGCTTAACTTTTTTGCGATGATACGCTGAAAAAAAAGTTACGAGTTACATAGACATACCGTCCGTTCCGGGCTCAGAGGTCGAAAGTTACTGGTACTGGAGCCGTAGCTTCAATTGCTCCGGGTGCTGCGCCTGGAACTTCCGGCTTCTTAGCCCGGAACGTGGACAGAATGTCTAGCCTGTATAGCCCGTAAGTACGGCTTCCACGGCCGGAGTTTTTTTTTTTTTTTTTTTTTTTCAGTGTACAAAGTTAAAAAAATCCGTGTTTGGTGTTACTATGTGTTACTTTGTATCAATATTTTGTGTCAGGTCATTTCCGGGGCTTGGTTGCTCAACACAATTTTTTGTTAAATCGACACAAACCGTAGGTAATTCCACGACTTCTTTCGGATGATTAGGGGAAAATTCGCTTCAAGTGCCAGGAAGGGTGTTTAGGTTTTTTTGTGATCTACTCGTTACCTCTCTAAAATTTCAGTTACTTCTTCTTACTGTGTAAAAGCCTCAGAGTTTTCCCTCCAAATCTGATTTTTCGACCCAACGCAAATATCGGAGCGGGGCCCCATCTGGCTCGCCGGTCGGTCGGTTCGGGAAACGCGGGCGCGTATATGAATTCGTTTCATGAATTTTTCATCGGATAATGACAGTGTGATAGTCCGGGACGGGCGGGGCGGCGAGGGGGCAGTGGCGGCGGCCAAAAGGCCCGGGAGGGATGTAGGCGCCCCTTTGACAAGAATTGGTCATTAGGCTCTCCTATTGGAGAGCACCAGAACTGCGCCCCCGGGCCCCGGGCTGGGCGCCGCATTCCTGCGCGGCAGCGCGAGACAAGGATGTGTGTTACCCGCCACCAGCTATTACTCATTTACTGCGCGGGCGTCGCTGCGCGCATGCTGCCAAAATCGCAGCTTTCATAACCCCATCTTTAGAATTCCGGCTCTATGGGTGGAAATTTGGAAGCATCGGACCCTCAGAAGTATCGGAATGTGGTCAGGAAGGCATTCCACCCCAAAGGTTATGATTCTTAGTTATTTCACAGAGAGAAAAACTTCGTTCGTGGGACTCGAAGTTGAGGTCATATGGATCTCTGAAGTTTTCGGATCACGCATCTAAAAACTTGAAGTCCACCTGCCGAAGTTCGGGTCACACATCTGAGGTACTCCGGTACAAACAGAAGTACTTCAGATGTCTGACCTGAACTTCGGCAGCTCGACCTCAAGTTTTCGGGTGCGTGATAAGAAAACTTCAGGGATCCATATGACCTCAACTTCGGGTCCCATGCACGAAGTTTCCTTTCTCCGTGTTGTTTGACTTTTTTTACGTTTTTAATTATTTTGTTTTAAGTTTTTAATTTGTATTAATATTTGAATAATCAGTGACACTTACCCTCGTGCGTTTTCATGTGAGCCCTTAGATTACATGCTAAGGCGAATTTCTTGTGACATAATTCGCAGGCGTGAGGTTTATCCCCTGTAAACAAAAGAAAAACAATGCAAATTAGTGTTATTTATAGTGCACAGTTTTAAATCTACAATTTTTCAAACAGAAAATTTAAAAAGAAAATTCTTGTGAATGTCACAAATCTCGAATGGAGTTGCCGAAATTGAATACCATTTCATATTGTATCTTCAAATGAAGACTACTAAATATGATCCGCGGATAAAACGATGTACCACAAAAGGGGGCAGACGCAAGGAAGAAGAGAAATAAAATTGAAATGGGAATGAGTGTTCTGAATTTCATTTTATAACACAACCGAATATCTAATCCTAAGCGATTTTAAAACCCGAAAATCTTCGGATACTTCTTAATGCTAAAAAGACGCAAGTAGGCTCACATCCTTACTTTGTGTAAACATAATATTTAACATTCAAAAAGTTCCGATCCTCACGCTAGGATTTAGAAGTGATTTGGAATTCCATAAAAATGGAATAAACTTCCGAGGATGATACAACTCGTAGGTGTTCACGGGCATTTTAAGTGTTAGCACGGGTTCTGCCCCCCATAATAAAATCTCGGCACGCCGATATAATTGGAGGGCATCATCTAGCGGTGCAGGTCTCCAATTTCTAAGAACGTGGCGATTGAATTTAGGTCCGGACGATGCAACTTCACTGGGCCCTCATCGGAAACATCTATATATTTTGAGGTGAAATTGTTGTCGATTAAAGTTCAGTATTTCGTGGCCTGAGGCAGGAACACACGGCTCGGCGGTGCGGCGCGTGGCATCATTAATGTTCCGGTTAAGTTTTTCTTTGGTATTACTGCTGTGCTAAGGAAAAACGCCGTATGAGCCTTCAGGCGTTGCCAAATTTCCCCTGGCAAATCAGTAATTTTCAGGGAAATTTTTGAATGTTTGTCTACCAATTTCTCAGATAATTTTGTCTGTATATTGATCTGAAACGTCTGAAAATGTGGAGGAAAAATAATCATAATTTTCTTCAAAAATAAGCATTTTATAGAAGGAAATTTGGCAATTCTCGAATGTTTATACGGTGTTCTTCCTTAGCACGGCAGTATGCGCTCTTGTCGATGATCGAATCAGAAAACCGCGTCATCTAAATTCTATTGTTGAACTTTTCCTCTCATTTTTTATGATGGATAAACGCTGTAAAATAAACAAACTTTAAGGAAAACCTGCGTCTTCCCACAGGGCCGGATTAAGGGGGTGGCCACATGGGCAGCGACCCATGGCGGCAAATCTAGGAGATGGCAAATTTTGCAATTTTTTTCAAATGAAGGTGTAAAAAAAATCGGATTTAGAAAAAAATTACAAACAAAATCTCTCATTTTCTGAGAGCATACTAATTTCTAATTTTGTCGTCTTTCGGCGATACAAGATACAGTACCTTTAATTAATCGAGTTGAGAGAGAGACCAAACACGCAATTTGGCCAGGAACGGCGCGACTGAGAGAGAAATGATGACGAGGATCTGAGATGAAAAGGTGAAGCCCTCGGCGCGGCGGTCGGCATGTAACACATATATTAGCACCTACATTCCTACAAGACTGCACGAATTCACGCATTGCATCAAACACAGTGCGGTCACTGCGATCAGCGTGGAACGGATCGCGCCTACAAGAATGCATGAGTACTTCACGCATAACGCGAAACACAGTGCGGTCAGTACGAAACGCATAGCGCCTACAAGACTGGGTGAATACTTCACGCATTGCTCCAAACACGGTGCGGTCTGCGCTGCACGACGGTGGAAGTTAAAATCATTAAACCACATTTATGTTTGTTCTTTCATAATTGTTTCGTTCATTTCCTATGAATGGAAGGCCTTGTCCACGCAGAGATAGGTTCACGAAACTTAACGTTCGCGCAAAGTTCGGTGAATTTTTGCTAGTAGTGTTGACAGGGCTTTCCCAAAATATGTTCCAACACGAGTAAACGCGTCTTATGCACCCCACCCCTGCTGGCACGTTCACTTGATGGTTTTTATTGATGTTTCAAAACAAATGAGAAGGAGGCGGCAAAATACAGGCGGCCCATGGGCAGCAAGTAGGTAAATTCGGCCCTGTCTTCCCATGTTATTACATGGAATAAAGCATGGAGAAACGGATGCTACTATTCCAACTCCGGTGTCATGTAATGAAGTATAGATCGAAATTGAAGACAATTTTCTCGAGTGTAACCATTGCTCCGAGTATGATAAATGGTTATCCAATGAGTTTATTTTAAACGCAATCGACAAAATGATGTTCTATGGTACTGATTTTCTATTTTATTTTACATGATCATCATACCGTTGCCATTTCCAAATGACATCGGTTATCGACATTCCATTGGCCAACATTTTTATAGTTTTAATTTCATTCGGAATTGATATAATTGGAAGAGTAAAAATGACAACATTCGAAACCAACAAAATATTAAATCTGTGATAAAAAACTGAGGATTGTGGTTTTTTTTTTTTTTTTTTTTTTTTTTTTTTTTTTTTTTTTTGCCAAGCACATTCAAGTAATTTAAGCATCGTCCTCCGAGCATTTGCTGAAGCATATTTCAGCCTCTGATTTCTTTGGAAAAAATTGTAAATTTACTATTTGGTTTTTGGAAGAAAAAACGTTCATAAAAAGTGATCTGCTCACTTCCAAACGACTGAAATCTTATATGACCACCCACTGAATAATCTGCCGAGGAACGGGAAAAAGCCCGAAAACGTCATTTTAAATGTTTTGGAAACAATGTCTCATAGCAGAAGAACTTGTGTACCTTGGGACAATTTTTTTACAGAATTCTTTTGCAGATACTGTCAAGAAGTTAACCTGAAAATTTGAGGTTCATGGGTAAAATAGTTTTTATTATAGAAAGTGTTAAGTTTCAAAAAACGCGGGAAAAATCTTTATAGATTTACGGCGTTCTTGCTTAGCATGACAGTATTGACAGACGTCTTCTGCTCATCGATGAGTATAGACGCTTTCTTAGGCATCTTCTAAAAAAATGACTCCTCTGCTATAAATTCCATGGATTGCTTCCAAAAAAATTACTCCTCTGCTATAAATCCTAAGGATTGGCTATTGAAAAAGTTGCGGCCAGCGCGCGCGGCCAAAGGACAGGAAGAGAAGAACGCGGTCCTCTGTGAGGTTTAAGGCCACGGTCGGTGCTCAAGGTTGAGCGCCGTACCCGATGAAGTTGGAAGCCGCGCAATACACAGTTGTCGCTATTCCTAGCAAAATCCTTCTGAGATCAGAATTTGCGATCCTCAATAGAATATGCACATTATTTCATTTTAATTATAATACGCGCAGCTTGTTAGTGCACTTGTTGGGAGAGAATGTTTTTTGTCAAAAAAGAAAATACTATGAAAAATTCCAAGTGAGCCCGGCTTTGTGGTGCTTTGTGCTTTGCGGTTCAAAAAATTTACTTTGGAGGGTTATTTTCATCAAACATGTTTAGAGCGAAAAATTGAAATATTACAATGCAATTTCAGGCCGTTTTTTTGTGAAAAAATAAAATAAAACACTCGAGTCTTGTTCTTTGGACTTTTCAAAGTGTATCTGTCTTACCTAAAACCCAAAGACGTTTTTTAAGCGAATTGAACCAAAGAGACCCTTACCTCACAACCTTCCCCCGAAATCTCTTTTCCAGGGGACTTTCAAATTTTATTTTCTTGCAGCTGAAAATGCGCCTGTGACAGCATTGAGAAGTTCTTCTTTCTCCAATGATTTTACCATTTCAGCAAGGGATTATCCATGCTTTCAGTTTTAACTGCGTCATGTTCCTATATTCTAGCCATGTAGTTTGTGCAGTTTCGTTACTATTTATCACATCTGAACCGAGTTTAACAAAAAGGTACCAGGTCAAGTCAATTTTGAACCGAGAAAAAAAGGCTCAAGGTTTGTGTCTCCGTATAAGAATCAATGATAAAGGCGCAGTTCAACAACTTTTTTTCATGCTCAAATAATTTTTCCTAGGCTTTGAATTCTTGCGAAATTCAAAACTACCCCCAACTCATTTTCTCCAGAATTCGACTTTGTGCGCTCTCGTAAACTCGGTCCATATTATATCTTTCATATCCAAACGCTTGTAACGATTTATAGCTTTTCCTCGTTAGACACTGTAAAAAAACACATTGGATCTAGAGCCCAGACTCTTGAAAACATTGACAAGAAAAAATACTTTTGTTTCAATCAGATTTAAGCTTAAATAAAAAGGAAATCCGCTCAAATTAAGAGGCTTGGTTCTTGATTTGAGCTTAAATCTGATTGAATCAAGAGTACTTTTTCTTGTCGATGTTTTTAAGAGTCTGCACTCTAGATCCAATGTGTTTTTCCCAGTGCTATGTCGTTTTTTCAGCTCAAAGAGTGCACAGAGAAAAAAAGAGAATTTTAAATTTGCCGCCAAGAAGTATTTCTTCTTAAATCAAGAATTTTGCTGGTTAATATACGCTAATTTTTTGCTTAACCCAAGCATTGTTTTTCTTGTATTTCTTGATGTTTTTAAGAGTCTGGACGCTAGATCCAATGTGTTTTTTTTTCTAGTGGATGATCAAAGACTCCTGCTCGGAGGACGGCGCACGGCTTTTTCGACGGGACTTTTGCGCAAGCTTTTGCGGGGCCGGCTGGCAGCCTGGCGTGGCGGCCGAGGGGCCCGGGCCGGCGCGGCGCGGCCGGCGCAGAAAGGGAAAATACAATATATCCGCATTAATCTTGCGTCGGGGCTGGTCGGCGGCGGAAACCCAGGAGTCACCGAACAATGCAAGCATATGCATATAAGCCCCGATGCCGACATCAGGCTAAAATCCCGGGCCGTCCCTTGATTCCTGACATTTGAATCAGGCAGCGTCTAATTAAAATACCTTCGTTGCCGTTGCTCCGAGCCCCGGGCCGATGAGCCAACAATGAGACAATGGCACCCGTCACCCGCTTGACAAAACGCAGGATTGGTTTGTTTAATACCTCCGATCGATAAGCTTATGCCTGATTTAAGCTCCGCGCCCGGTGACTTGCGAGCTTGCGCCCTC